TATGGAAGGGTTATAGTTCGTTGTCAATTCTGAAGCTTAATTTTGCTGAACACAGTATTCTTGGATGGCATCCATTTTCTTTCAGAGTTTGGTTTATATTATTCCAATACCTCCTAGCTTTTTGGGTTTGGTTTGAGAAATCTGTTGAGATCTGGATTGGTTTCTATAAAATGTGATTTGTTGTTTTTCTCTGGCAGCCTTTAAAATTCTATCTTATTCTGTAAGGGAGGCATTTTTATAATAATGTGTCTTGGTGTGGGTCTGTTATAGTTTTGTATATTTGGGATCCTGTAAGCCTCCTGTATTTGATTTTCCATCTCATTCTTTAGATTTGGGAAATTTCCTGATTTTATTTCATTGAAAATATTGTGTATTACTTTGGTCTCTCTCTCTATACCTTCATCTGTCCTTATATATCTCAAATTTGGTCTTTTTATGTTATCCCATAATTCTTGGAAGTTCTGTTCATGGTTTCTTAACATCATTCATTATTCAATAGAGTATTATTTAGTCTCCAGGTGTTAGAGTACCTTCTACATTTTATTCTATCATTGATTTCTAATTTCATTCCATTATGATCTGATAGAATGCAGAGTAATATCTATATCTATATGGTTTAATATCTAATATCTGTTTTTTTTGTATTTGCTAAGAGTTGGTTTGTGGCATAAGATATGATCTATTTTAGAGAAGGGCCCATGTGCTTCTGAGAAGAAAGTATATTTGCTCATTGATGGATGAAATATTCTATTTATGTCTGTTAAGTCTAAATTATTGATTGTATGATTTAGTTCTATAGTTTTTTTTTTTGTTTGTTTATTTGTTTTGAGGATCTATTCAATAGTGAGAGACATGTGTTAAAGTCACCCAGTATTGTGTTGTGGCCTGTTTGGTTCTTAAAATTGAGAAGGGCTTGTCTGATGTACATAGATGCTTCACTGTTTGGGGAATAAATATTTATGATTGTTTTTGTCTTGTTGATGTATAATTCCCTTAAGCAATACAAAATGACCTTCTTTGTCCCTTCTGATTAACTTTGGCTTGAAGTCTACTTTATCTGATATGAGGAAGAAATTCCTGCTTGCTTACATAATCCATGTGAGTTATATGTTTTTTCCCATCCTTTCATCTTCTGTCTGTGGATGTCTTTGACTATGAGGTGAATCTCTTTGAGATAGCATATTGTTGGGTCTTGTTTTTAATCCAGTATACCAGTCTGTGTCATTTGATTGATGAGTTTAGGCTGTTAACATTCAAGGTAATTATTGAGATATGATTTGTATTCCCATTTTGGTTTATATCTAATTTTTAATTTGAATTGGTTTCTCCTTTGATTGACTATTCCTTTAGTGCAGTTCCTCCCTTTGCTGGTTTTCACTTTTTTTTTTTTAACTTCATCTTCATGGAATATTTTGTTGAAAATATTCTGTAGTGCAGGCTTTCTGTTGTGAATTCTTTTAACTTTTGTTTATCATGGAAGATTTTTATTTCATCATCAAATCTGAAGCTTAATTTTGCTGGATATAGGATTCTGGGTTGGCATCCATTTTCTTTCAGAGCTTGGTATATGTTATTCCAGGACCTCCTAGTTTTGAGGGTCTGGGTTGAGAAATCAACTGAGATCTGAATTGATTTCCCCTTGTAATCTAATACTTTTCTCTCACAGATTTGAAAATTCTATCTTTGTTCTGTATACTAGGCATTTTCATTATAATGTGGCTTGATGTGGGTCTGTTGTAATTTTGTACATTGGGGGTCCTGTAAGTCTCTTGTATTGAATTTTCCATTTCATTCTTTAGATTTGGGAAATTTTCTGATATTATTTCATTGAAAAGATTCTGCATTCCTTTAATTTGTATCTCTGAGCCTTCATCTGTCCCAACAAATCCTATATTTGGTCTTTTTATATAATCCCATATTGCTTAGAATTTCTACTCATGATCTCTTAACAAATTTTTGCCATGGTCAAGTTCATTTTTAAAATATATATCTTGTCTTTATTGCCTAAAAACTTTGTTTTTCAAGTGGTATAGTCTGCTGGTGATCCTTTTCATTGAATTTTTAATTTGGTTTATTGATTCCTTCATTTCCAGGATTTCTGCTTGATTTTATTTTTCAGAACCTCTATCTCTTTATTGAAGTGATTTGTCACTTTGTGTATTTTCTCTCTGATTTCACTCTATATCATCCTTTACCTCACAGATCAATTTAACTCTGAACATTCTAAACTCCTTCTCTGACATTTCTTCCATTGTGGTATACATGGGTTCTATTATTGAAGTATCTTGGTTTGTTTGGATTGATTTATTCCCTTGCTTTTTCATCTTATTTGTGTGCCCATCCATCTAACAGTATGGATCTGAGGCAGTAGAGTTTTTACCCTGTGGACTTAAAGTGTCCCTGAAAGTTTCTAAAACCTCACTGTTTAGGGGGAGACAAATAATAACAACAACCAATGCAAACAATACACAGCAGTACATCAAATATTTCATGCTGTGACATCTTTAATTCTAATTGTCAAAATAAACAGAAATTATATGATCAGTTATTGCCCACAGTAAAAACAGTAAGTTTGCAAATAGGTTTAGGATTTTGAATGGACAAGAAGAGAACAAAAATGATGTAGGAAGTAATGATTATGAGGGAGGAGGAGAGAGAATAGAAGTAAAAAATTAAAGGAAGAATAAAAGAGAGAACAACAGAGATTGGCTATTAGCAGAAGAGAAAAATACAATTGAGGGAAACATATAAGTGAGAAAAAATATGTATAAAGTAAAAATTTAAAAATTAATATAAAAGAATGTAAAACAAAACCAAAATATACTAACCAAATATCCTAGTCCTAAAAATACTGATCCATGAAAAATAACTGGCTTTGAAAATGCTAGAAATGAGGAGGAAAAACACAAAACATAAAAACAAGTATGTGTGTGTGTGTGTGTGTTTGTCCCTGAACCATTCAGGTAACAATTAAACAGAGAAAAAAAGAATAAATAAAAATGAAAAAAAAAATCTCAATGAAAAAGAATTGTTTCTACTGGAGTTAAAAAGATTCTCAGCTTCCCTTCTCAGCAGTATTAGGTTAGGTGGGCTGGAGTGTGATGCTTGCTAAACCCTCAGGGTGGGGTTGCTAGAGTTTGAGAGGAAATCCCTAGGTGGTGCTCCTAGAGGTAGGGTTTAGGCTTAGGTAGGCTCCAGGGTTTTTGTTGAATGATGATTGGTCTGAAAATTTTAAATCAGCTCACCTCCAGGGCCCAGCATTTGCCAGTCCATCCTGGAAGAGTGCACCCCAGCGATTCCCCTCTGGGTTCTATTCCTGCAGTGGTAGAGGCAATTCTTAGTCTCCTTCATCCCCTGCAGGAACCCCTCCCCTTTCCTGGTCTTAAGTTAAGCCTCCAAACTCTTCTGCCCCACCCCCTTTTGAATTCCCAGCCAGATATGTCTCTTCCAACTGGTCCTACAAGTGGCTGGATTGGAGGTGGGGTGGGGATGAGTGGGGTGGGTGGGGGGAACAGGGGGATCTATACAATCTGTATTCCTGTGTAATCCCTGTGTAAACCCCTCTCCACGTTTGATTTTCTCCTGGTCACTTAGGCCCACTCCATGTCTTGCAGTGTGAGTTTTCCGGGCCTGTATTTTGGGCCATACTCATGTTTGCCAGGAATTGGCTCCCCTAGATGCCAGCCCCTGAGCTGTGACTGCAAAATGGTTTCTGACTCTGTCCTCTGCGGCAGCCTGGAGAGGCATGGCTTCTTTCCTGCACAAGGATATTGTGCAGCACATCTTTCAGTTTAGTTGGTCAGTGTCTTTGATCTCTGTACTTGCACACCCCACAGCCCTCCTAAAAATGCAGGTTCCTTTAATTCCCTATCCCTCCACTTTGCTCATGGAGGGACTTCTTTGGCTCATGCCTCCAACTATAGAAGCAGCTGTGGTGCTGGGGATTTCTTCCTTATTTTATTTTATCCAACCTCCTGAGTCCCTGATCTGCTTTGAATGTCTAGTATTAAATCCTGGTAAAGTCCCCCCACCCCTTTTTTTTCATGTCACAAAGAAGCCAAGAAAGTGACCTCCATCTTGAGGGAAAAAAAGCAAAAAACCTTGTTTTGTTAATTTTACAGTGTATACCTGTATCAGAACATCACATTGTACTCCATAAATATGTACAATTATTTTGTCAGTCAATAATAAAATAAATTCCATGAATGTAAAGACCACCTCTTATCATTGAAAAGAGGGAATTGGGCTTTGTTTTTATTAAATCAAACAAAGAAATGTGACCAAAGAAGAATTTTTTCTAATGTATGATGGTAATTATATAGTCTTAAGACTCCTGATACATTTTAACAAATCACCCCTAATGTTGCTTTTAAGAGAATGAGCATGAGTTATATGGATCTGCATTTCAGTCCCATCTTTGCCACTTACTAGCTGTGTAACCTGAGTAAACAATCTAATCTCCCTAACCTCACTTTTCAAAATTCTTAAATTGACAATAATAATAATAACAACAACAACAACTTTACAGTATTGCTATGAGGATTAAATATGACTGTGCATTTGAAGTAACATCGCAATGTTTGCTTTATTAAAATCCCATGTATTCTTGTTATTACTATTGACATACTAAGATTTACAGAGTATATTTTTTGTAACTATTCCCATAGAAGGCATAAAATTTATTACTTGTTACAAAGTAAACTTTGTTACTTGATTTAAGATTTTCTGTAATAAAAATCTGGACTTTTGCAAGAAGTTTGTATTTTAGTATAAAGATGTATGCCATTAGTTACCAAATACATCAATATTTTTAACATCATTAAGGATTGGTGTTTACAATTCATAGTTTATGAAAGGACATCTGTATGGTCCCCTGAGTGATTGTCCTCTAGCAGCTGTGCCAGAGAAAGTGTCCCTCTTCTGTATCACTTCTTTTCAATATATGGATATATTTAGGTCAATACTGATGAAATGCTTCAGTTAGCTTCCCTCTCTTCCAGCTTTGGTTCTCCTTTGTTAATGGATTCTCTGGGCAGATTATATTTGAGCATTGGTGCATCAGCTTGTACAATGTGGTAAGCATCCTCTTCCTCTCTCTGATAGCATGCATAACTTCAAGAATTTCTAAGTCAGTCATCTGGGTACTTAGCACTCAGGACAAATATATCTTTAGGGCCTTCATTACCATGACAAATCATACAGAAGTTCAAACTCTTCACATGTGCTTTCAATCACGGCAGATCATTTTAGAGTAAGTATGTGAAATGTGTACCAAATGTGTTATTATTACATAAAATATATGCAACTTTTTTACTCTATACCTAAGCAAAGTTTTCATGCTTTTAAGCCAAGTGAAAATTACTAAACTTTATCTATACCCATTCCATTTAATGCATAAAGTTTAGGTTTACCTACATTTGCATTTGTGTGTATGTGTATGTTTATATTGTAATTCCATGTCCTTTTAAACAAACTGGTTAAAAACTGATATGAAAAATATATCACGTGTTTGTACTAAATAATAAATTTTATCTTGTTTTATAGTATATATTTTCTGTTATAATCAAATTTTCTAAAATTTAAAAAAGAATCCTTTGAGTCACTTAAATCATTTGGAAGTCAAAAGTAGCTACATTACCTTTTCCCTTTTTTCTTTTTGTATTGTTATTTCATCGTAAGACTTTGAGGATTAGAAATTAGGTTTCCAGCAAGTATAACATGATGCCTCTCTTGTATGGAATTATAGCAATCACTGTGTATTATGTGCTATAACCTCTGAAATTCTGTCTTCTAGGAGCTTGAATTCAGAAACAGCACAGGCAGATGTCACTGGACAGAAGACATTGACTGTCCAATAATATAAAAAAGTCTAGCTCTGTGAATAATTAATTTGTGTTGATGCTCATAGATAGATGGATTTGGCAAGAGTACAGCAGCAATGAGGCTATACACACAGTTGTCTTTATTAGACTCTTGATTACAGAGGATAATATGAATCAACCTTCTTTAAAGGTTCCATAGTGGTGAAGAGAGTGACAGAATCTCTCCTCTTTCCTAGAAAAATCACTATCAGTGTACAAGCCTCTGATACTGATCAATGGAATCTTATATTTTTATAATAGGAAACATAGATGTAATTTTTTGTTTATTAATTTGGTTTTATCAAGCAGTAAGTGGATGACATGAATATCCATTGACTTCCTAAGTCTCATCCCAATTCACATTCACTTTACAGATAGGATAAAAACAAAGCTCAAGACCACAGTGCCAGAGATAGACTCTGTTTGCTTATTTTATAATTACATCAATTGTCATACTATTTCTAGAGGTCATGTATTACTTCTACCCATGTATGACCAACTATTACAAGAACTATCTATTATCAGAAAAAATAAAACAAACAAAAAATTAACATATCAGATAAAATGTATAAAACAAAATTTTCAGACTTTGGGCAACAGGCTGACTGATGGTGTCGTCTCTGGGAGAAGTCTTACTTCCCAGACACAGTGAAGGAAGACAAACCCAAAGCAAAATGAAAGAAAAGAAAGTCCAGGTGTCCTCCTGAATGAAGACACAAAGGTTGAAGTTCAGCAGGCCAAGGTAGCTAAGATTTACCTGGTAGAATGACAGAAAAAAGAAAACTAGAGGGGCTGGGGTTGTTGCCCAGTGGTAGAGTGCTTGCCTGGCATGTGCAAGACCCTGGGTTGGATCCTCAGCACCACATATAAATGAATAAATAAAAAGATCCATTGACAATTAAAAAAATAAAAAGAAAACTAGAGAGAGAGAGAGAGAAGAGAGAATGTGTCTGAAGAACCGCAGAGGATCCCCTTCGGTGTAGGAGTGGTTCATACATGCACTGAAAAAAGTCTATGCAAAGTTGGGGAAAGAACTACCAGAAAGGCCAAAATAGTTCTTGGAGCTCATTCAGGGCTGGGAATAATCTGTATTCTTATCAGCCAGAATGGGAAGACCTCCTTTTACAAAGGATCTTCGGTAAATTCCTCATACAGGCCACTTTGAATCGTAAGGGTGAATTCGTCCTATTATAGAAATTATTCTGAACCTACAATTACAAAACTTACATATTTTACAACATATAATCAGTCCCCTATATTTCAGAACACAGGCAAAAGAGCTGGGGGTGGTGACATGTAACTATAATCCCAGTGCCTCAGGAGGCTGAGGCTAGAGGGTAGCAAGTTTAAGGCCAATCTCAGCAACTTAATGAGGCCCTAAGCAATTTAGTGAGACAACGTCTCAAAATAAATATATAATAAAAAAGAGCTGTGGATGATGCTTAGTAGTTAAGCACCTCTGGGTTTAATTCCTGGTTTAAATAACAACCAAACAACAACAACAACAACAACCAGAAGAAAAAGAACACAGACACAGTATTTAGATGACAGTCAACACCAGCACTTCAGCTCCCAACAACATGTTTGTAATATTCAGCATTCAATAATTAGGTGAAAAATACATCAATAAAGACTAATTCAGAAGTGGAATTAGTAGGCAGAAACCTTAAAACAATTACTATAAATTTTATAAACATGTTCAAGGATATAAAGGAAAACATGAATATAATGAGAAAGATAAAAGATATAGAAAAGAACCAAATAGAATTTCATGAGATGAAAGATACACTATCTAAAATGAAAAAATATATATGGAAAAATTAATATTAGATTATAAACCTCAGAACATGATCAATAAATATGAAGACATGTCAATAGGAAGGACAGAGTAAAAGATATGGAAAAAATGTGATCAGAAACATATTGTGCTCAGGAAGAATGTCAGGAACTCTTGACCTTCTTATATTTAGAGCTTCAAAAGAGGGTGCAGAAAAATGTTTCAAGAAATATTGGTTGAACATGTCATAATTTTGTGAACATTATAAACACAGAGATGTAAGAATATCAACAAATTTCACAAAGAATAAGCCTAAACAAAAAGCACATGTATGTTCTTCACAATCAAATTGCTGAAAACCAGTGACTGCAAGAATATTATAAAAAGCAGCCAGATAAAAAAACAAACACTACATATAGAGTACAAATGTAAAAATAAAAGCAGATCTCACATTAGCAACCTCATAGACTATGCATAAAACAATAGAATAACTTTAAAGTTCTGATTAATCTATATTAATCTAGAATTCTATACCCAGCAAAAATGTCTTTAGAAAATTAAGGTGAAATTAAAATCTATACACACTCAGAAAATAGGGAATTCATCACCAGAAGACCCTGTATGCCTTAAATATTAAGTTATTTAAGCAAGAGGAAAAATATACAAAAATTTGGATTTCTACAAAGAATTGAAGTGCATCAGAAAATATTGATTATGGTGGGAAATGTGGGAAATTTTGGTACTCTCAATCTCTTTAATTGATTAAATGGTTTGTTTAAAACCCAAGTAATAATTTAGAGCTTATCAATTATATAGAGTTAAAATACATGACAAGTATAGCAAAGTGAACAAGTGAGGAGTTAAAGTACAATAGTATTTGAATTTTGTGATATATTCCTCATGTATAATGTAAACCTTAATGGATACCTAATAAAAGGTATAGATAATAAGACTGTAATGGAGATAAAAATTAAAAATGATTAATGAAGAAGAATTCAGGAAATGAGGTAAAAGAATGAATGCAACAAACACAAAACAAATAGATTTAAAATCCAACATATTTATAATCACAAGTGGCCTAAACATGCTAATTAAAAAGGGGACTGTCATATTGGATTTAAAATTAATACAAAACTATATGATTTCTACAAGAAACCTTCAAACATAAAGACACAAAAGGGAAAAAATTGAAAAAAAAATTTTACTATGTAAATACTAATAAAAGAAATCTGGTACATTAGTCGTCTGTCTATGACCAAAATATCTGGAATAAACAACTTAAAGGAGGAAAGATTGATATTGGCTCATGGTCATGCTCCAGCACTTTGGACCTGAGATTAAGCAGAACATCATTATAGAAGGACATAGCAAACGAGAGCAGCTGCTTAGCTCATGGCAGCCAGGAAGCAGAGAGCGGTGGGGAAGAGGCAAGGGTCAGGATGTAGTCCCCAAGGGCATGCCCCAAGGACCCACTCCCTTCAACCAGGTCCCTTTCCACAATTTCTACTACCTCCTAAGAGTCCATTCAGCTATGAATGGATTAACTCACTAATGTGGTCAGAGCACTCATGATCCACTCACTTCCCATTGGAAATCCACTCACTCTTACATTGGAAAACACATGGGTCTCTGGGGGACACTTCATATCCAAACTATAATAACTAGAGTAGCTGTAGAAATTATAGAATAGCGGACTGTAGAACAAGAAATGGTCTAATGATAAAGATGCACATTTCTTAATGACAAAAGGATTAAAATAATTCTAAATATGTAATCACTATTAAAGTAGCATATTAGCAACTTACTAGAAATTAAGAAACTGATATAATTAAATAGAAAATTAAATAAATTCACACATACAGTTGGAGATTTAAAACTCCTTTTTTAATTGATAGAAACTATATATAAAACTTCAGAAAGTGCACAGAGGTTTTGAACAATATTATAACTAACTTGACCAAATTGACATTTATAGAAAACACCCAACCACAATAGCAGAATCTGTATTTTTTTCCAAGAGGTAATATCACACACTCTTATTTTGCTTCTGATCTTAAGGGCACACTTTCATTATCATTTTACCATTAAAATATATCAGCTGCAGTATTTTTGAGGAAGCTCTTTCACATTGTTCACCTAGTGGAATAACTGTGTGCTTCTTCCTTTTGAATCTGTTAACATAGTGAATTACTTTGGTGAAAGATTCACCAAATAAATCACATACTGGGCAATAAGAGTTAATATGTTCTTTGACCACAATGGATTTAAAGTAGAAATCAAAAGCAGCAATATATTATAAAATACCCATATACCTAAAAAATTAAAGAACACCCTTCTAAATGCACCATAGATCACAGAAGAAATCACTGGAGAAATTAGAAGATATTTTAAACAGAAAAAAAAAGAACACACAGATTTTCAATTTGTACAAGATATTGCTAAAGCAATGAATGCATAGAGGAGTATATACATTTTTTAAAGCTTATATTGAAAACAAGGGCCTAAAATCAGTGAACCAAGAATCATCCTAAAGAAACTAGAAAAAGAAGAATAAATGAAGCCCAAAATAAGCACAGCAAAATAAGTAACAAAGAAAATGCCTGAGTCAAATAAAAATAAGGCAGACAAACAAGACAGAAAACCAAACTGACTGCTAGAAAAGGTCATTAAGACTGATAAATCCCTAGACAAACTGACCAAATGAATCAAATAAAAATAAAATAAATAAAAAAAGATACCAATTAACAGTAACACATACGAAAGAAGAGTTTTTACTATAGACTTTACAGATAATAAATACAAAGTAAGCAAATATTTTAACAAATTATTATGACGTATTAGGTGAAATTAACACATTTCTTGATTAAATGGATAAACTCCCCCCCCCCTTTATTTTTGGTGCTAGAGATCAAAGGCAAACACCCTACCAACTGAACTATAGCCCCAACCCACTGGATAAATTCCTTCAAGGATGTAAACTACTAAATATCACTGAAGAACAAAATGATCCATGCCTGTGAAAATTTTTGAAGTTAAAAATCTTCCTATTTAAACAAAAATAATTCCAGAAATATTAACAAATTTAGACAAAAGTTTTCCAGGAAAGAGGAGGAAACAACCCAATTCACTTATGATGTAGCTTTACCTTGCTGCCAAAACCAGAAAGGTATTACAGAAAACAAGAATTTAAAAAACATAGTTCAACTAGGTGCAGAGGCCCTGCCTGTAATCCCAGGGACTTCAGGAGGCCAAGGCAGGAAGATTGCAAATTCAAGACCAGCCTCAGCAATTTAGCAAGACCCTGTCTCAAAATAAACATAAAAAAGGACTAGGCCTGTCACTCAGTGGTAGAGCACCCCTGGAGTCAATCTCCAGTACCAAAAACAAAAACCAGAGAGTGAATATGGCTCATGTACTTCCATTTTTTTAACACATTTTTCTTTCCTTCTCTCATTTTTGTCCTCTTTACTCCCTTTTCTCTCTCTCCTTCCCCACTTTCCATATAATATAATGCTTTCTATTTAATTTAATATAGTTCCTAGAATAATAGTAAATATTCAAAGATAAAATGAATGGGAAACCTCTTTTTATTTCTGATAACAATCAAAATAAAGAATTCTTGTAAAATTATTTTTTGTTTAGTCCAGTCTATTTGCAAAGTCCTGGTAAGTGAATAGCTAGTTCTCATGTAGGAGTTAGATGACATTATTACTAGATTTTTGTAGCCATTTTGGCTGTTATTTAAATAGCTAGATACTTGATTCATTCATTTTATTCTCATAAACATGGCAAAATGTGTAAATTTTGTGTGCATAAAGCACAGTGTGCCTAATTATAATGTATTGAATCAAAGCATTGAATCAATCTGAAAAATTATGTCATAGTTTTTGATAGACCCATTTGAATTTATGTGACTCAATAATAGCTCCTTTGTAAATAACTTCTTTTTATGCAATTTAAGACATATCAAAAGTTGCACAATAGTTGAAAGTTCTGTATATCATTCACCCAGCTTCCCCCAAGATGAAATCTTAATAATCATAAAACATATTGTCAAAGCAAAGATGTTGATATTGATAAACTCACTTATAGACTAAAAGTTATTTTTAACAAATCCTTATTATCTATGTAGATTTTCACTTCATTACCACCTTTAACTCTGGGAATCTTTGAGAAATGTTGCAGTCAAAAGAGCCTCCTGGAGTATCCACAACTCTACACAGTTTTTCAGACAGGGGAAATGTTCAACACAAAGGTAAAGAAAAATTTATTACAGGTTTTCCATCTCAACCTGACTCCAAACATACCTTTGATCCTCTTCCCTTTCTGATGCTTTAGGGGGAAAATTATTTAAAACACAAGAATGTTGCATTTGGTGTCATCTTCCTGCTAGTTTAGAGAGCTAACTTTGAAACAACAGAAATAACAGTAAATGAGAAATGGAAAACAGAAACAAAAAAGAAAGTCATGTGAAAAACAAGCAAGGTACCATGTGTGTGGTCTCACAGATTTTGCACCACGTTCAGGAGGCATGCTGAGTGATGGAAAGGATGGAAGAGGACCTGGTGACTCCAAGAGATCACTTCCTGGGATTATAGAAGTTGAGATTCAGTGTGGGGAAGTGGGAGTGGGAGGGGTGTTAAAGGGATGTTTCTAGGCTGCAAGAGGAATGTCACACACTTTTATCAATTTTGAGTAAACATAACTGTACATCTCAATAATTAGTGAAGCTAAAAAACCAAAAACCTAGAACCTAGTATAAGCCTTTAAAAAAAGGTGAGAGTTTGGCTACTATGAGCCAAAGCATTTAAGACTTGGTTTTGGCTCAAAATAGTCTTATCTTTCATCTTCTCTTAAAAAATGAATTGATGAGGTAAAGTATATAATGTCATTCAAAACTTTTCTGTCTTTACAGACTTTTCTGTCCACTTGTTCTATTGAGAGGTATTAAAATCTCCAACCGTATTGTAGATTTATCTATTTCCCTTTGAAGTTCTAGTAGTTTTATGTATTTTGAAGCTGATGTTAGGCATAATCCTGTTGGAGGCTATCATATTCTCTTGAAAGACCCCTTTGTCTTTATGAAATGACTTATTATTTCTGATAGTATTCTTTGCCCTAAAATCCATGTTGCTAGCAATATAATTATTTCAACTTCTTTTACTTTTTATATTGTTGTTTATTTATATTTCAATGTTTATTGGAGAGAGCTTAAAAACTTGCTTTATTATCCAAACTGATGTGTGCCTTTTAACTGGATGTTTAGATCATTTATATTGAATGTACATTTTTGATTAGGTTCAAGCCCACCATCTTGCCATTTTCTATTTTGTCTTATGTATGATTTTTTCATTCTTCTTTTCCTGTCTTCTTCTGGATTAATTAATTTTCATGAGTCCTATTTTATTTTCTTTGCTCACTTATTTGTTATAAATATTTGTTTTCTTATTTTAGAAGTTCCATTTGAATGTATAATATTTGTTATTAGGTTATAATTTACTTTGAAGTGATATACTACTTCACATATATTATTAAAAAATAGTATATTTTCATCTCTTTCCTCCTAAGTTTTGGAATATTCTTCACATACATGTTAATTTTACTTATTTTATAAGTTCTTTATGATATTATTCATATCTTGCTTAAACGATCATTATTTTTAAAAATTTAAATAGAAAAATCTCTTATCTTACCCAGACAATTATCATTTTCAGTCTTTTGTGTAGAATCATATTATCTGTTATGATTTTCTTTCTGTCTGAAGACTTGCTTTTAACATTTCTTGTAGAGCAAATCTATTGACAATAACTCAGCTTTTTGCTTGTTAGTTATTTTTAGTTGTAGATGGACACAATACTTTTATTTATTTATTTTCATGTGGTGCTGAGGATCGAACCCAGTGACTCACATATGCTGGGCAAACGCTCTACCACTGAGTGATAACCCCAGCCCCTTAACTCAGCTTTTGTATGTATGAAAAATCCTTCCTTCAATTCATGTTTGAAGTTGTTTTTATTTGGTCTATTAACTTTGTATTACTATAATAATATAATATAATATAATACCTGAGGAAATTATAAAGATGAAATATGTATTTAGTTTATGATTCTGAAGGTTCCAGGTCCAAGATTGAGTACACCAAAGCTTTAGGCACTGCTATAGCAACTGGATGACAATGACAGGAAGCACATGTCAGAGCACAGTGCTTACATCTTGAGCCAGGAAGCAGAGAGAAGGAGAGAGAATGGTACAGGGTCCTACAACCACCCCCTTCAAGGGCATCCTCCTTACAATGACCTAAAGACTTCCCACAAAGTCTACCTCCTAAAAGTCCACAGTACTTCCCAGTAAAGCCACCCCTGAGATCAAGGACCTTTGGGATACACTACCAGTATTCAAACTATAGCAGTTGGTTAATGGTTTTATTTCTTTAAAATTTGAGATTGATAGTTTTCTTTCAATATTTTTCATTTTTTTGTTGTTTGCATTGTTTTGATGTGAAATTGCTGTCATCTTCATCCTTATGTAAAATGTGTCTTTCTTCTCTTTTTGGTTTTAAAAATTTTTTCTTTATTATTGGATATAAGCATTTTATCATATTTCCTCATGTTTATTGTGTGTCTCGGAATTATGGGAGTTTATTGAGCTTCTTGGATCTGTGTGTTAAGACCATCACCTATGGGCCAAATCCAGTCCCCTACCTGGTTTTATAAGTTTCATTGGTACATAGCCATGCCTACTCAATTACATATCATGTGTGACAGAGGTGACTGAGTGGGTGCAACACAGATGACACAGTTCCAAACCCTACGATAATCCAATCTCTTCCAGAAAATGTTTTCTGGTTCTTATTTTTAATACTTCCTGGCAAGTATAAAAATAATTGGTATATTTAAAATTGGAAGAACAATATACATTTTTTATCATTTAACTAATGTGTACCCTTGTTTGATGGAACCCAGAGATTCAGTATTATTGAGATTTCCTTTAAGAAACTTGTACATGGTGTGTTAAAAATTATTTTGATGAGGGTCAGAGTATAGATGTAAAAGATCAGAGTATATCATGTTTAGTTTCAAATTACATTTAAACTCAAAACTTTAAAACTGAGCAAAATTTTTTTCTTTTGAAAATTACTTTTGGTTTTGTTTCATTGGGTATAATAAACCTTCATAATTTTTGTGACAAATATATCTTATTTTATATATTTTTATCTAATAGATTTTAATAGAATAATGTGTAATATAATAATAATGATATCCTAAATCTTAAATGATTTCAATAATATCCTATAATTTTAATTTATATTATTCTATAATTTTACATAACATATCAGATAATGTTCCTATAATTTTGAAATTATTTCTTTTAAAAATAAATAAATAAATAATACATTTTTCAATTTACAGAAAAATTTTTCAGCTTTATGACTGTATTATACAGAGCAAATATACTTCACAATGTCATATATTTTTAGATTTAGACCAAACTACCATCTTTTTTTTATTAGTTGTTCAAAACATTACATAGCTCTTGACATATCATATTTCATACATTTGATTCAAGTGGGTTATGAACTCACATTTTTCCCCCCGTATACAGATTGCAGAATCACATCAGTTACACATCCACGTTTTTACATACTGCCATACTAGTGTCTGTTGTATTCTGCTGTCCTTCCTATCCTCTACTATCCCCCCTTCCCTCCCCTCCCATCTTCTCTCTCTACCCCATCTTCTGTACTTCATTTCTCTCCCTTGTTTTTTTTTTCCCCCTTTCCCTTCACCTCCTCTTATATGCAATTTTGTATAACGATGAGGGTTACCATCTTGACTTTCTTGCTTTGTTTTCTTTTAGGTGTTTTGGATTCAATGTATAAATGCTTTGATCCACTCCTTCATTCTCTTCTGGTTTCCCACAAAAATGCTGGAGCATGGTAATAGCTTCATTATTTCAAATATTCAGCAGAGTCTGTAACTCTTGCTGAAATTAATGTTTTCATGTGATGTGTATATCCATAGAAAGAACTGGAGGACACAAAAATAGAATTCAGAAAAAAAACAAAAACTCACCTAAATCTAGTATTAGACATTCCTTTGGCTAATAGATTACAGTTTGAACATTTAACAACTGACCTTTAGAACCCATTCTCTTTGTTTTGACATGTATAAATTGAGTTCCAGACCATTTATTGTTAATTTCTAGTAAATATTTGAGTCAGGAAGTCTGATGGAAAACAAGACATTTCTAATGAATCAAAGATGGCTCTTGTAAGTTTGAATTTATGTATACTATCATTCACAAAACTTTATGCTTCAACTTAGTAATACAAGTCTGGTAAGATTGTATTGAAACTTAAACTTATACCTTATTATTTGATCAAGTCTCTTTTTCCTACCATATGATATTCCAAGTAACTTTATCTGTGAAATTTTTCTCCGAACTTGCTTAGGTCTAAGACATCCCAAAACTAGGAGATATATTTATGAAGTATGTTTTTGGTGTTCAGTGAGATCACATACCTTAAATTAAGGTTTGAAATGTTATTACTTTACATAACCAGACTTACTTTTTATTGGATATTTCTAGCAACATGTTCTTTGGCTTGGATATATTTAAATTTAAAAGCTGTCTGAATCTGCATTATATTGCTCATTGTAAAATTAAGCAAAACCAGGCAATAACAACAATAAAGTCAAAATTTCGTGAAGTTTATGAAGACTCAGTTCCACTGACGTCATCCACAGGATGATTATGTGAAGACCCCCACAAGCAAAGCTGGCTGCAAAGAAGAAAAGCCTATAGATTCTCTGTAAATTGTCCTAAAAACCAATGAAGACATGTCTATTCAAGAAAGTTTATTTTAACTTGGTGAGAACAAGAGTTTTTATCATTTGAATCATGACCTAGTTCCTCCCCACCTCAGAGCTTAGCTCGATGGAAGCTCCATGTCAAACACATGGTCAAGGACATGGGGTTTTCACTTTGCCTCTCAATCAGGGTTACCATATCTCACCAGGAGACGCGGACCACCAGAATTTCTTGTCCTCTTCAGCCCTCCTCTCCACAACAAGTGACTTTATTTGAAACAGAATATAGAATTTCAAGTACATGTATGCTCTCAAAAATAATAGCTCCTCTTAAGGAACAGCACCAAGATAAATTACAGGCTAGTGAATTTATCAGAGAACCAGGGAAGGAGTTCACAAGATCCCTTGTAAGGGGAGAACAAACTCTTCCTGCCTGAATTTAACTGGAGCAGGATACTGAGAAATTTTTGTCTCGGGACCTAGTTGAAAATAATAGAGAAAATTTCCAGCAATTTGTGGAGCCAAATACCTGGTTTAGCATCAAATGAATGAGATAACTTGACAGAGAAGTTAGGGGAAAAGACAGCCCAGGGTTAAACTCAAGGAAAGCTCAAGCTTAAACCACTGCTATCCTAAGTGTCTGTAATTTTACCCAAGGCTGTGCCTTCTGAGGAGAACACCAAGGTTTTACACTGTGGGGAGAAATAAACTTCACTAAAGTGGCCTAGCCAAGTCTCACAAGAAATAAGCATCAACAACAAGCACAAACCTTAAAAAGGAGAGAAGGGCCGGGCGAGGTGTCGCATGCCTGTATTCCTAGCGGCTCACAAGACTGAGGTAGGAGGATCACAAGTTCAAAGCCAGCCTCAGCAAATTAGGCCCTAAGTAACTCAGTGAGACCCTGTCTTAAAAAATAAAAAGGGCTGGGGAAGAGGATCAGTGGTCAAGCACCCCTGGGATCAATCCCTTGTCCCACCCCCACTCCCCCCCAAAAAAGGAAGGAAGGGAATCAGTATCCAACTTTGCTGTAATATGTTATATAAAACATCCCATTTCAACAACAACATTCAAATAATGAGGAAAATGTGACTCATATACAGGAAAACAGGTAAGAAAGAGAGGCTACTCTATAAGAAGACCCAGATTTCAGATTAAACAAAGAGTTCAAAGCAATCGTTATAAATATGTTTAAGAAACCATGATGAAAGATATGAAGACAATGGCTCATTAAATAGAGATTATTGGAACGAAAATCAAAATTATAATAAATAACTAAAGGAAAAGTACAATACCAAAATGGAGGCCCCCCCCCTTTTTTTTAGCAGAACTCAATAGTATATTTGAGCTGGAAAAAGAATTAGTGAACTTGAGGTTATATAAATATAGAATATGTACTCTGAAGAACAGAGAAAAAAATAGAATAAAAAAAGTTGCACAGAGGCTCAAAAAAATGTGGTAAATCTTAAAAAAAAATGTATATAATAGGAGGACCAGAACAAGAGGAGAAAAATAATGGAGCAAAATAAATCTTCAAGAAAATTATAACTGAAAAGTCACCAAATTAGTTGAAAACATTAACTAGACATCAGAAAATCAATGAACTCCAATTATATGTAAAAACATTCACATACACACATTGTAGTAAAAATGTTGAGAGCCAAACACAATGATACAATTTTGAAAAAAAAAAAGATGGTGACATGAAAGACCATTTATTGTTAATTTCTAGTAAATATTTGAGTTAGGAAGATCAATAGCAAAGTTCTTACCAGAAAAATGGAAGCCAGAAGGTAGTGAAAAACTAAAGTGCTGAGAAAGAAAACAAAAACTATTAATGAAGAATCTTAAGCCCAGTAAAACAATCTTTCAAAAGTGAAGTTGAAATAAAAAATTCCAAGATTAACAAAACATGATATCCTTTGTTTCTAAAATGTTTACTATTCAAGAAATACTGAAGGAATTTTAAACAAGTAAACCCAGGTGAAAATTCAAATCTACACATTCATTTACAAAATTAACTCAAAATGTATCAAAGACTTACATATAAGACCCCCAAACTGTGAAGCTACTAAAAGAAAACAAGGGAAAATGGAAAAATTTCCTGGCATTCATCTTGGGGGGTGATTTTTTCCTTTTTCTTTTTTTTTTTTTTATGAATCCAAAAGTAGAAGCAGTAAGAGCAAAAAATAATGCTGTCTCACCTTTGTAATATATCTAGAAAAGAAGGTTCAGTATAGTGATTAAAAACATAGATAGAATCTATTAAAAAATCATAGGTTATCTTCAAATATAAGAATTGTAGTGTAATAATAAACCCAAATCTGGAATTATAAATACCATGATTTTATCAATGCAGTAGTTTACAGAATTTATGTTGTTAAATGTAATGCATATGATAAACTAATTCTTAGAATACTCATTTTTGGTTTTTCCTCCTAAGATTCATTAAAATTTTTAGTCTTCTAACATTTAAAATATCCCACAACACATATGCACACATAGACAACATCCTCAGATTCTCTATAAAGAATAAATAATGTTATTTGTGCTTACTGGGTGGTGTGTATGAGGTGGGTACCAACTGAAATTAACTGTGTGCAAATTTGCTTTGATATTTATGAGAATGAATTATGTAGCTGCCCAAATTATCTGGTACAATGTTTAGGCACTGAAAGATTTCATACATGTTTAAATTTAGTTTAAAGTATTTTTTACATATTGGACAAGCAAACTACATAAGTACAAAATATCACTCATCATTGTGCAGCTATATGAAGTGACAACCAAGGTTTCCGTGTCCCTACTTCATCCATTTTGCCTGAATGTGTCATACATAATCTCAGGGACCAGGTGTAAATTTATCTATGACAAATTCTTCCCTTTTCATTACATATGCCTTTTATTTATTTCTCTTTCATTAAGGCACAGGCTGGGATCTCCAGGACAATGTTAAACAGAAGCAGTAAATTTGGACATGTTCACATTCTTCCTAATCTTATGAGGAAAGAATGCATCTTTCTACTATTATTTAAGATATTAGATTTTTTTCATAGATGCCCATTATTACAATAAGAAAGTTTTCTTCAGTTCTAGTTGGTTGAAGATATTTATTTATTTGTTTGTTTATATTTATAGATGGACACAATATCTTTATTTTATTTTTTATTTTTATGTGGTGCTGAGTATTGAACCCAGTGCCTTACACGTGCCAGGCAAGTGCTTTACTACTGAGCCATAAATTGGATTTGGTTTATGTTTTTTCTTATCCATCTATTAAGGTGATAACATTTTTCTTTTTTGTTCTGCTACTATGATGAATTGGATTCATTAATTTTAAAATATAAACTAGCACCATATCCTTGAATAATCCCTTGTTTATCATGTATTATCTTTTTTATATATGCTAAATTTGATTTGCTAAGGATTTTTGCCTCTATGTTCATGATGGGTATTGATTGGTCTTTCTTATAATATTCTTTATCTGTATTTTTGTTTGTTTTTTACATTTTTTAAATTTGTTCTTTTTAGACATACATGACAGTAGAGTGTTTTTTTGACATACTGTACATACATGAAGTATAACTTATTCTAGTAGGATCCTGTTCTCATCGTTGTACATGATGTGGAGTTACATTGGTCATGTATTCATAAGTGAACATAGGAAAATTATGTCCAGTTCATTCTACTGTCTTTTCTATTCCCATTCTCCTCCCTTCCCTTCATTCCTCTTTGTCTAATCTACAGAACTTCTATTCCCTCCCTGCATTATGTATTGGCATCTGCATATCAAAAAGAACATTCAGCTTTTGGTTTTTTGGAATTGGCTCATTTCACTTAGCCTGGTAGTCTCAACAAGACTCCTAAAGCACAAGAAGTAAAATCAACAATCAATAAATAGGATGGTATCAAACTAAAAAGCTTCTTCATAGCAAAGGAAACAATCAGGAATGTGAAGAGAGATCCTACATAATGGGAGAAAAGCTTTGCCACCAGCACCTCACATAGAACATTAATCTCTGGAATATATAAAGAAACTCAAAATTTATCTGGATTTCAAATTAGCATAATACTTGTTTCTTAAGTTGGGAAATATCTACTTCTTTGCTTCTGAAAAAATTAGTTTTTAAAGTTGGAAAATTAAATATTTCATTTTCTAGCTTTCTTCTAGAAAGTTTTAGCACAATAATTTTGCTTTAAAGCAAATTTATTCTTTTGAAATTTAAAACAAATGAATGTTCTTTAAGATTTTATTTATCCAAAAAGTCTCTATTTTATTTTCCTTTTGTAAAAGCAATTTTATGTTGATAGTTCCTTTTCTTCAACTTCTTTAAAGACCATTGACTTGTGGTTTGCATTATTTTGTTGAAAAGCCTATGATAATTCTTCTTTATGTAGTGTGTTGTCTTTGTGATCCTAAGACTTATTTTCTTTATCACTGATTCACAGCAATTGGTTTTGATATGACATGATAAAGTTTAAGTTATGTTTATCTATTTTCCTGCTCAAAGTTTTTGCATCTATTGTTTTATAGTGTTCAACAAAGTGTAAAAATTTTCCTTACCATTTCTTTTGTCTCTCTTTCTTCTTCTTCCATGACTCTAACTACACATATGTCAGACCCTTAATGTTTTCCCCATCTGTGTCCATTTATAATATTTTTGTTCTCTCTTTTAAGTTCATTTTTAGTTTGTTTTTCTATGCTTTTAAGTGTACTAATATTTTATTTAGTTGTGTGTTACTGATTTATCAGTGTTAATATTTTCATCTCTAGAAATTTTATTTTGTTCGTGTCTTTAATTTCTTTCCTTATCATGTTCATATTTTCCTACAAATCCTTGAGCATATTTAAAATATTTATAATAGCTACAGACTTCTCTGCTATTTCCAACATCTCTGTTATTTCTGAATTGTTTCTAGTACCAATTTTCTTCTGGTTATTCATCATTTTCCCCCATTTATTCACATTGTAATTTTATAATGGATGTTGAACATTATAAATGATATGTTGCTGAATAGTTCATTTTTATTTTTAAATACTTGGACTTTGTTTTAGCACAATAACTTAGTTATTGTGATTCAATTTTACTCTTTTGATACTTATTTTCATATTTTTTGAAGTTCAGTCAAATAATCCTTTAAAATGAATTTAATTTCTCTACTAAAGTTATATACTCCCTCTGGGGTCTCTGCTGAATGCTTATCAAAAAAGTTCTTTTCACTTTAGCCTATAGGAATTTGAGCAATTCCTATATTAAATCTGGAATTTTTTAAAACTTGCCCTTATATAGTAATTTGTTTTTCCATGGAAGTTGTTCTTTACTGCCTTGTGGGATTTCTTGGCACACATTGCAGATTAGCATTCAATCAAGGGCTTATGAGGACCCCATAGGAATTTCTTAAGATAATTCTTTCCATAATTCCCATATTCCATTCTGCAAATTTGAACAACTTCGTCCTGTCAGTGTCTCATTAATTCAGCAAACAATGTTGAATCTCTTTCCCTGCACAGTAGTTTAGAAACTGCCTCGAGGTGTGAGTAGGGACAAGGCTCATCTAATGTTTTACCCTTTCTTCAGGAATTAAAGTTTTCTGTTTGGTCTCTTACCTAATGTCTGAAGGTAGTCATTTTATATTTAATCCAATTTTCTAATAGATTATAGCCAGAAATATTTTGCCTATTCATTTATTTGTTGTCACTTTATCTATTATGAACTGAGAAAGGTGAGTGAAAATCTACTACTATCATATTTGTTTCTCCTTTTTGCTCTCAATTTATGTTTTAAAATATTATTTGTCATGCCAATAGTCTATTTCATATTCATTGAAATTTTTATGTTTGGCTTTACAAGGTACCCTTCCTTGTCTTGTGTAAGTCTTTTTAGTGTCAATTTCTTCTAGGTTACAGTTACTATTATGTCTCATCCTTGATCATCCTTCATTTTTCAACTATATGAGTTGTTTTTTTAAGGTGTAGTTCTTGCAGCATAAAATCTAATTTGAGATTCAATCTGAAATTCATTTTTTAAAAAATAGATTTTTTTGAGATGTTCTTATGATTTTGCATTTCCTTCCTAAATTTATTTTTCTAATCTTTAATCATTTCTTTGGGTTTCCTTGCTTATTTGTATAGATTTCTGATACTGAGAAAGGTTTGAATTTTTGTTCTTATAGTCAATTTTTTATTGACTATTTCTTTAGAGAAATCATTTCCTCGTATGAATAATGATAAAATTATTGCATTTTTTCTTCCTTCTTTCTTTCTGTTCCTCCAGCACCCCATTATCTTGCATATGACATACCTTCATGCTCTTAAGTATGCTTCCAGTTAAATACTTTCTGTTTGCTTTGAATGTCTTTTGTTGACTTGATGAGACCATCTGCAAACTTGATGTTTTCCATTTATTTCACCAGTACCTTCATGTATTCAGGTATCATTTCCTTATCATATGGGCATGTGATAATTACAGCTAATCATTTTAACACCACATTTGTTTTTGCTTTTATAGTCTTATTTCTTCAACGTATTAGATGTATATAAATATATTTTGATATATTAAATCTTTCAAATGCACACAGGTCTTTTTGTTCTGATTATTCATTAGGTTTTTGGCTGGGTAAACTGGGTCTTATGTAAAAATCCCTAGTGAACATTCTTCATCTGTGATAAATTTTGCTGTCCTTTTCCACTCATTTGATTCAATTCATTTAAAAACATATTTCATAATCAGGGACAAATATATAGCATAATAAAGAATGACCAAAACTCATAAAATAGTCATTTTATGGGTACTGTGTCTGTTTCTTTCTTTTTTTTTTTTTTTAATTCTTCATGGGATTAAAGTTTCTGTCCCAGAGAGAAGAAAAGTGTATTTTTGCAGATGTTTTTTGAGATCTGATGCTCTAGACTGAGTTGGTATTCACATCAGAGAGTTCTTACTACATGTAGCAAGCTCAGCTTCTGTGCTGGCCTCAGTTCCTTGGAAGCCTTTGTTAGTTTTCTGAGTCTATGGATTTTTTTTGTCTCCTTGTTTCCCTGACATTGACTTTGTGGCAGTTTTCATTATTAATTTTGTGTAATATTCAGAAGGAAAGTAATTTCTGCTTCACACCAGAATGTTGGAATACTGGAAGTTTTTCTTCCTCCCAATGTAGCTTCTAATTTTTCTATTCCCTTTATGAGTGCATATCTAAACAATATAATCCAATATTATGTTCCTGTGAAGTAGCTATCTTCTCTTTTCTATTCAGTTATATTGTTCTCATCTCTACTATCATCCCACTCCAGCTCACAAAGTGTAGGTCAGTGCACATTCTAGAATCATGATTGTCATTCTCCTGGTGGTTGTAATTTGGTCCACATACTTATCCACTTTTCTTCATTTGGATTCCCTAAATGTTTCATTGCCTGTAGTTTTAGGGAAAAGAATAAGCCTTGAAAATTTTAGTGGATTATAACTCAGAAACAAACAAACAAACATAAAACAACAACAATAAATGAGCCTAAGTACATAAGTATACTATCTGAATTGGTATAAAGGTCAGGAGTTGGCACTTGAAAATTTACATATCAAATGTAATGAACCAAAGACCACAAATATGTATTAGAGAATTTTAAAACATGTCAAGAAGATCTGAAGAGAGTATCCTAATCTTGAGATAGCCTGGGGCTTTCATAAAGTTTTATAGCAGATATAGCAATAATTGTAAAGAATTGGGAAATTCTATCATTATTTCAAATTGTCTATTGTTTGTTATTTTAGTAACCTTAGAAAAGGAAATAGTATTAAAAATATGATGACAAAATTATTACAATTTCTCATAACCTAGCATCATTTATGGGATATTTGTACTTTTAATTTATGGGTTCTGTCAGATGGTTTAATGCAAATAAAGCTAGGTTTACAACAACAGTCACATACTCCTTATGCTTTGTTTTTTCATCTGTTGCTTGATATATCCTTGGAGAGACTAAAAAGTAAGAAAAAGTCACAATTATCACAGATAATAGATGCAAAATTTTTGTCATTTAAAGCAATTTAGAAATATGACCAATAATCAATGAATATTTTGGGGGGTCCACTATGGGTTTCTTTGGTAAAAATAAATTCAAAATCTATATTACAGACTCTATAAAGATTAAAACATGATTTTTTTCACTTTTCAGATATGATTTTGCGACATGGTTACACCACAGACTATTTATTTCTTGGAAATTTTATTTATACGGTAAGATTACTCTTGTGCATTAAATCACTTATTTAAAATTAAAACAAATAAATCACTTTATCAAATGTTATAAGGCAGTATCCTATGAATTTTAAGATTCTCTCACTCTAATGTCTTTTCCAAGAAGAAACTATTATAGCAGTTGCTTACATATATTTCTAGAAATATAAACTTTATTACAAATATATGTTACCTCCCTCCCTCCTTTTTTTTATAAGTAGGGAATGCTTCTCAATGTCTCATTTTTCCCACTATATAGCATGCCTTGCTGATTTCAAATCAACCCATAAATATTTACATCATCCTTTTAGGGTTGCTTGTATGAGTAACTTGCCCTTATCAATTTAGCTAGTCTGCTATTAGTGGACATTACTGTTATTTTTGGTCCGTTGACATTATGAACAATACTGCAAAGACTATTCGTATGTGCCAGAAGTAAGTATATCTGTAGGATAAATTTCTAAGAGCTTAATTGCTATATCAGATGGTAGCATGAATTTTGAAAGACATTACCAAATATTCCCCCAAAGAGTACACGAATTTAGTAATAAGAACATCAATTTCCCTGAGTCCCATGGGCAGTGATCTTATCACACTTTTTCATCCAAAAATGATAGCCTATTGCAGTTTTTGCTTTGAGAGCAATCATATTTGTGTGATTATAAATCAATTCCTTTTTTTTCTTTCCATGAACTGCTTGTTGTTGTATTTAGTTCTATTGGGATGTCATTTTTTTTTTCTTGTTATTGTGTACCTATACGTACATACCGTTCATCTATTGAGGGAAACCTAGGTTGGTTCCATAGCTTAGCTATTGTGAATTGAGCTGCTGTAAACATTGATGTGGCCGCATCACTATAGTATGCTGACTTTAAGTCTTCTGGGTATATATCAAGGAGTGGGACAGCTGGGTCAAATGGTGGTTCCATTCCAAGTTTTCTGAGGAATATCCATACTACTTTCCATAGCAGTTGCACCAATTTGCATTCCCATCAGCAATGTATGAGTGTACCTTTTCCCCCACATCCTTGCCAACATTTATTGTTGCCTGTATTCTTGATGATTGCCATTCTGACTGGAATGAGATGAAATCTTAGAGTAGATTTGATTTGCATCTCTCTAATTACTAGAGATGTTGAACACTTTTTCATATATTTGTTGATCAATTGTATTTCTTCTTCTGTGAAGTGTCTGTTCTAACAGACATATATAGAATATTTCACCCATCAGCTATGATTCTATACTTGGAAGACCCTAAAAGTTCCATCAGAAAACTCCTAGAACTAGTAAATGAATTCAGCAAAGTAGCAGGATATATAAATCAACACCCATAAATCAAAGGCATTTCTGTATACCAGTGACAAATCCTCAGAAAGGGAAATGAGGAAAACTACCCCATTCTCAATAGCCTCAAAAAAATTAAAATACTTGGGTATCAACTTAATGAAAGAGGTAAAAGATCTATATAAAGAAAATTACAGAACCCTAAAGAAATCAAAGAAGACCTTAGAAGATGGAAAGATTTACCTTGCTCTTTTATAGGACAAATTAATATTATCAAAATGACCATACTTCCAAAAGCACTATACAGATTTAATGCAATTCCTATCAAAATCCCAATGGCATTCCTCATATAAATAAGAAAAGCAATCATGAAATTCATCTGGAAAAAATAAGAGACTCAGAATAGCTAAAGCAATCCTTAGCAGGAAGAGTGAATCAGGTGGCATCACTATACCAGACTTTAAACTATACTACAGAGGAATAGTAACAAAAACAGCATGGTATTGGCACCAAAACAGACTTGATAAACCAATGGTACATAATATAGGACACAGAGAATAACCCACAAAAATACAATTATCTTATATTAGACAAAGGTGCCAAGAACATGCATTGGAGAAAAGATAGCCTCTTCAACAAAATGGTGCTGGGAAAACTGGAAATCCATATGCAACAAAATGAAATTAAACCCCTATCTCTCACCATGCACAAAACTCAAAATGGATCAAGGACTTAGGAATCAACCAGAGACCCTGCGTCTAAGAGAAGAAAAAGTAGGCCATAATCTCCATCATGTGGGATTAGGCCCCAATTTCCTTAATAAGACTTCTGTGGCACAAGAATTAAAATCAAGAATTAATAAATGGGATGGAATCAAACTAAAAAGCTTCTTCTCAACAAAAGAAACAATCTGTGAGATGAATAAAGAGCCTATATCTTGGGAGCAATCCTTTATGTCTCACGCATCAGATAGAGCACTAATCACTAGGGTATATAAAGAACTCAAAAAGCTAAACACCAAAAAAACAAATAACCCAATCGATAAATGGGCCAAGGACCTGAACAGACACTTCTCAGAGGATGATGTACAATCAATTAACAAATACATGAAAAAATGTTCATCATTGCTAGCAATTAGAGAAAGCAAATTAAAATCACTCTAAGATTTCCTCTCACTCCAGTCAGAATGGCAGCTATTATGCATCAAACAACAATAAGTGTTGGTGAGGATGTGGGGAAAAGGGTACACTCATACATTGCTGGTGGGACTGCAAATTGGTGCAGTCAATATGAAAAGCAGTATGGAGATTTCTTGGAAAATTAGGAATGGAACCACCATTTGACCCAGCTGTCCCTCTCCTCGGTCTATACCCAAAGGATTTAAAAACAGCATACTACAGAGACACAACCACATCAATGTTTATAGCAGCACAATTCACAATAGCTGTGGAACCAACCTAGATGCCCTTCAATAGATGAATGGATAAAAAAAAATGTGGCATATATACATAATGGAATATTACTCAGCAATAAAAGAGAATAAAATCATGGCATTTGCAGGTAAATGGTTGGAGTTAAAGAAGATAATGCTAAGTGAAGTTAGCCAATCCCAAAAAACCAAATGCTGAATGTTTTCTTTGATATAAGAAAGCTAATTCATAGTGGGATAGGGAGCGGGAACATGGGAGGAATAGACGAACTCTAGATAGGGCAGAGGGATTGGAGGGGAAGGGAGGGGGCATGGGGTAATTAATGATGGTGGAATGTGATGATCATTATTATCCAAATTACATGTATGAAGACATAAATTGGTGTGAATATGCTATGTATACAACCATAGATATGAAAAATTATGCTCTATATATGTAATAAAATTGTAATGCATTCTTCTATCATATATAAATTTTAAAATTTACATAAAAAAGAATATTTTACCCATCAATGAGCAAATATACTTTCTTCTCAGCAGCATATGGCTCCTTCTCTAAAATAGATAATATCTTATGACACAAAGCAACTCTTAGGTAAATACAAAAATCCACAGAAGATACTCTTTTGATTTATAGTGGTTTCAATTTACCCTGCTCAACTGTATTTTTTTTATTAATAGCACTCAGATTTCTAGGTAGAATCAAGTCTTCCATGGTATTTATAAAAAAAAAGTAAATATAAGAGCTTATAACATAAGTATTGATTTGAGTCGTATGCTAAAGAGTTCCTAAACACGTGCATGTATTAGAAAACACTACATCCTCCTTAGAGCTAAAACCCAGGAGAACGTTTATCAACTTAATGACATTATAGTCCACCAGATGTGAGGATGAACGGGGCGGGGGGGTGTCAGGAAAGGAGCAGGAGACATGAATTCTAATGGAAATTTTTTTTACATTTTTTATTTTATTGTCTTTGCCTTCCCATCTCACCTCTCACAGTATGTAGTTGTTACTGTTTGTCTGAAAGCTGGGCTGGAGACAACATCTTGGAATAGAGTAAGTATACTTCAGGAGTTTTTCTAAATCCATTGTTGTTGCTATGTGCTGACTTACTTTTAATCTTTAGAAAAATAATAAGCTTTTGTTTGTTCTCCATACTCTATTTGATTTTGCATATTCAAATAATGATTTAAACTGGATGAAGGTGTATTATTCATCTAATGTCTTTAGGATATTTGTTTTCCTGTTTTACATTTGAAATAGATTCAATTTAGCATACTATAACTAAGATACTTCATTTACTATTATTATCCAAGTTCAGGATTAAAACAGAAAATTTAGCTAATACAGAAATTTAAGTAAATACATATTTTCCATGCCTTTCAATGTGAATGCTATTATTGACAGTTTGGTTTCTATTCTTTCAGTCTTTGTTCTATGTATGTTAACTTTTTAAAACAAGAATAAAATAATAGCTAGGCCAGAGCACATGTGTAATCCCAGAGACTCAGGAAGCTGAGGAAGGAGTTTGAGGCCAGCCCAGGCTACTTAGACCCTAGTCAACTTCGTAAGACCCTCTCTCAAAATAGAAAAGAAAAAGGACTGGGGTGTAGGTTACTGGTAAAGTGCCCCTGGGTTCAATTCCCAATATCAAAAATTTTTAAAAAAAGATTATAATGTAGCTAAGGTTTTGTAATTTACTTTTTTCACTTAATAATAGTTAACATTTTTCCATCTATTTAATCTGCTAGCTATGAATGAGTTCTTTTCCAACTAATACTCAAAACATTTACAGAAGGGGCTGGAAGATGTACTCAGTCATAGAACACTTGCATAGATGCTCAGGCCCTGGGTTTGGTCCCCAGTACTGAAAAAAAAAAAAAAACATAAACAAACAAAGATTTTTTGAGAGGAAATGAATTTATATTAGCTTGTAACTTTTTTTTTTTTTTTTTGTACCAAGGATTAAACTCAGGGGCACTCGACCACCAAGCCACATCCCTAGCCCTATTTTGTATTTTTTTAAAATTTAGAGACAGGGTCTCACTGAGTTGCTTAGCGCCTCACCATTGCTGAGACTGACTTTGAATTCATGATCCTCCAGTCTCAGTCTCTTGAGCCACTGGGATTGCAGGCATGCGCCCCTGTACCCAGCTAGCTTGTCACCTTTTAAGAGCTAAGATGATGTAGTGTATCACACATTCTCTGATGTAATCAATCTGGAGTTCTGACCACAACAGTATTTCCAACTGGATCTTGACATTCGGTTATGAAAAAACATATTACATTAGCAGCTCATAAAACATACAAATGCATGTTATTATACCACCTTAACCATTATGTAAATATAGAAACAATTATTTTCTATTTCTCGTTCTAATTGTCAAATCCTCTCCAATAAAGAATGTTTTCTAGGTTTAGGATCACTTATGTCTGTACATACTGAATCTCACTTTTTTTATTCATAAATATTTCTTTGTTTACTTGTTTATTTAAAGTCCATAGCAAAAGTAGCAAAAAAGGGGGGCCTTTCTTGTCGCCTGTGTTGCCCCATGTTCCTGCTCTCTACCTCCCATTGAGGTTAAGAAGGAGTGTGGTAAAGAAAAAAAGAAGAGAAGGCATTGGTTGCCTACCCTGTGGAGATGATGGAGTAGGTGTTCTGGGGCTTCTTGTTGGGGAAGAGGAGGATACTGGAAGTCACATTTAGGTGCAAGAACTAAGCAGGGCAGAGAAGTAGCAAAATGCCTCTCAAGAGCAACATGGTGGCTTGCGACCACTCCCGCGTCCCATCAGGAACCCATACTAAACCATACCGAAGTGCCTATCACTACAACTAATGCATTGTGTCAATTACAAGGGAACCATTATGAAGATGCATTGTTGTATGTATGTATTTATTTATTTTAGTTGTAGATGGATACAATACCTTCATTCTATTTATTTATCTTTATGCGGTGCTCGGGATCAAACCCAGTGCCTCACACATGCTAGGCAAGCACTCTACCATTGAGCCATAACCCCAGCCCCTGCATTGCTGTTTTTTAAGTTTCAAAGTTCCCAGTTTTCGCCTGATCCTCTTTTCCACCATCTTTATGTGGAAATCATCTTTAATCATCTTTATGATCACAGGAAGACCCTTTCTGGAGACCAGTTCTGTTTACTTTAACCAGAGAGAGGAATCATTTAACTAATAGGTTACCTTTTAAAAGAATGTGAAAAGTTGATTTTGAAGATAACTTACAAACACATAGCAACCAACACTCTGAGAACCAGCAGACTGGTCTTTTCCACTGTTACATTTGTTGTTTGAACATAATTAAGCAACAAGCACTACCTAACAGGATGAGAGCACTTGAGCCCATTATAGAATTTGGCACAAGTTCCCAGACCCAGACATTGGCAGTGATCTTTCATCCAGTTATCTCTATGAGGCTAATGTGCATCATTCAGTCAATGTCACAATGTCTGTCATTGTCTCAGAGCTACTTGTACAGAACAAGAATGATTTGGTCATTTTTAAAAGATCTCTTCCTGATTTCTGTTCAAATATTTTACCTTTACTGGAAAAGCTCTGTATTAAAAATAGACAAAAGCAGATAGCCTCAATAAGTCACCCATCACTTGTATGGACTGAGAGTTGGCCGTTTTCACTGAAGACACAGAATGTCACTTGGCTTAGGTAACTGGGGTACCATTGTTTAAGATACATTAACCAGTGGTTCCTTGTTTCTGCAGCAAAATATTCTGAAAAGAATGTGAGAAACAAAACCCCAAATTTTAAGTAATTGAACGATTATTGATATTTTCTCATGAAAACATCTGAGATGAACAAATGTATTTTGTTAGTTGATATAATTACCACCCTCCCCCCTTTTAAATAGAAAAACTCATGCCTCTGTGGTTCTCTTCTTTCTGCAGTTTAGTCATGTGGCAATTTGGGGAAGCATAATAAGCTGGATGCTGTTTTTCTCAGTTTATTCTTTCTTCTGGCCCATCTTCTCTGTTGCTCCTGAAATGACAGGACAGGTTAGTCCTACCAACTGTGAGTGTCTCTATATTCTGCATGAAAATTGATCCTCACTAACAATGTGAACTGATGCTAACAACTTCCAAAATTATTTAGGAAAAAAAGATAAAAATAAGTGTAATGAGAAGTAGTTACTGATTCAACTAAATTCTGAATTACTTATAAAAAAATATTATATCCAAAATCTTATTATTTTAAACTATCCAAATCAACCACTTTTCCCCAAATTTGTGTTTTTTTGTGTATATAAGCGATAGTAATGGCTGAATCATCTAAAATAGCTAATATTGTAATTATATTTCTCATGTAATATGCTACGTGCTCAAATTATTTGTACTTGGTAGCACATGCATGGAATTAGGAAATTATTATTATTTAAAATATTTAGAATAGCCATTCTTCAGTTCTCAAAATAGAATACATAGTCTAAACTTCTAAATATTTTAAACCTACATGGAAGCTGTTATTTTACTTATATGAAACTTCAGAGCATATTCTAAAAATGTTATGCTTTTTTATATATTTTTAAATTCTACTGTGTTTATGCCTCTTGTAGGCATAGGGATTAGACCACATTCTTATAAAGTGAATCACAGAATTCCATGATATGGGAATTATAGGTGAACTTGATACAAACTGGAAACAACCCATATGTCCATAAATGGGTGAATGAATAATCACATACCATACCATAGAATATTATTCAGAGATAAAAAGGAAGAAATTATTGACACATCTAACATCATTGATGAATCTCAAAATAATGATTTTGAGAGAAATAAAGTAGCCCAAGAAAGAAATAAAAAGAAAGAGAAGGAAGAAAGAAGAGAAAGAAGAAAGAAGAAACAAATTGTATAGGTTTGGCAAGAACTGGCATTTAATCAGGAGCATAAGGGAAGTTATGGGGATGGTAGATATGTTCTTGATTGGGATAATGATTTCAAGGATATTTGCTCTAGTTTTTTAAATTCTGTATAACATTATGATACATTTTGACATAATCACAAATGCATAGAATATAATTTTCTTTAATTCAGTCCACAGAACTTCCCCCCTTCTCCTCTCTCCCTTCTCCTGTTCCCTTCCCTCTTTCCACTGATCTTTCTGTAATTTATATATAGATTTTTTTAAATTACTGTCTTGAGGACATACTTGATGCTGGGATTCACTATTCTATATTCATATATGTACATATGAAAGTTTGGTTAGATTCATTCCACTGTTCTTTCTTTTCCCCCATTCCTCCTTCCCCTTTCTCCACCCTCTTTGTCTACTCCACTGATCTTTATTTTGATGAAATTGCCTCTCCTTTTTTTTACTCTCTTTCTTTCCCCTCCCCCACCAACCCTTTATTTAAGATTAGTTTTCACATATCAGAAAAAAACTTTCAACCTTTGACTTTATGGGACTGGCTTATTTCACTTAGCATGATAGTCTCCAGTTCCATCTATTTAGCAGAAAATGCCATGATTTCATTCTTATTTATGGATGAGCAAATTCCATTGTGTGTGTATATACCATATTTTGTTCATCATTCACCTGTTGAAGGACACCTAGACTGGTTCCATAGTTTGGCTACTGTGGATTGTGCTGCTATAAAGATTGATGTGGCTGTGTCATAACAGGCTGATTTTAAGTCTTTTGGTTATATACTGAGGAGTGGGATAACTAGGTCATATAGTGGTTCTATTCCTAAATTTTTGAGGAATATCCTTACTATTTTCCAGAGTATTGCTCTAATTTAAAGTCCCACCAAAAATATATGAGTGTACCTTTCCCCCCACATCCTCACCAACATTCATTATTTGTCTTCTTGATAATTGTCATTCTGTCTGGAGTAATATGAAATTTCAATGTAGTTTTAATTTGCATTTCTCTAATTGCTAGAGATGTTGAACAATTTGTTTGCCATTTGTGTTTCTTCTTTTGAGAAGTATCTGTTTAGTTTAGTTTTGCTTTGTTTTTTTGTTTTTTGAGTTCTTTGTATATCCAGGTTCTTAATACCCTTATCTGAGAAGCAGGTGGCAAAGATATTCTCCCATGTTCTCATGCTCTTGTTTCCTTCACTTGTGTGGAAATTTTTTAATTTGATGCCATCCCACTTATTACTTTTTTATTTTATTTCTTGTACTTTAGGACTTGTGTTAAGGAGATCGGTTCCTGTGCCAACATGTAATTGCAGGGTTTCTGTTCTAATTCCTAGATTTTTTTTTCTTTTTTTGTACTGAGAATTGAACTCAGGGGCACTTGACCACTGAGCCACATTCCCAGCCCTATTTTGTATTTTATTTAGAGACAGGGTCTCAATGAGTTGCTTAGCACCTTGCTTTTCATAAGGCTGGCTTTGAACTTGCGATCCTCCAGTCTCAGCCTCCTGAGCAGTTGGGATTGCAGGCATGTGCCACCACGCCCAGCTAATTCCTAGATTTTTGATACACCTTGAGTTGAGTTTTATGCAGAGTGAGAGATAGGGATCATATTTAATTCTTCTTCATATGGATTTCCAGTTTTCCCAAGACCATTTGTTAAAAATGTAAACATACATTTCTCTTTGTTTAGTATTAGATAACTGTATTTATGTGAGTTTGTCTCTGTTTCTTCTATTCTATTCCAGTGGTCTTCTTATGTTTTGGTGCCAGTACCATGCTGTTTTTTTTTTATTATAACTCTTCAGTATATTTTGAGGTCTGGTATGGTGATGCCTTCAGCTTTGATCTTTTTTGATAATGATTATTTGGCTATTCTGGGTCTCTTATTTTTCCCAATGAATTTCAGAACTGCTTTTTCTATTTCTGTGAATAATGTCATTGGAATTTTGATGGTAATTGCACTGAATCTATATAGAACTTGTGGTAGTATGGACATTTTGACAATGTTAGGTCTGCCTCTCTAAGAACATGGGAGGTCTTTCCATCTTCTAAGGTTTTCTTCAATTTCTTTCTTTAGAGTTCTATCATTTCATTGTAGATATCCTTTACCTCCTTTGTTAGAGTATATTTTTGAGACTATTGTGAATGGGATAGTTTTCCTAATTTCTTTTTTCAGGAGATTCTTTATTGGAGTATAGGAACACAATTGATTTGAGTGCTGATCTTGTACCCTCCTACTTTGGTGAAGAATTTTAGAAGTCTTCTAGTGGAGTTTTTTGCATCTTCTAAATATAGAATCCTGCCATTAGCAAACAGAGATAATTTGAGCTCTTCTTTTCCTATTTGTATCCCTTTAATTTCCTTCTCTTACCTGAATATTTTCACCTAAATCATTAAAATTTGGTTTTGCCTTTATCATTTTTCTAAAATTGATTTTGCAAAAGTTACAATGAATCACTTACAATCAAATCCATTGAGAACTGGATCTCGCAGCTTGAATTTCTACTTTCTCAATTCCATACTGCCCTACCCCTGTTTTCTTAGGATTTTTGGTATTCCTCATGACTCATCCAATCCTCTGACTAGTCCTTCTCAGACTCAAAGACAGAGCAGAAACTTGAGGTGACATTGACTGTCCAGGGTGTATTAAATACTGATGTAAGACTGGGAGACAGAACACTCTATTTCAACAATCTCATTGGGATAGGATGTAGTGTTTGGGGGGCCTATCGGGGTTATAAAAGAGAGACTCTACAGTAATTCAGGAGCCACAAAGTGTTGCCCCTTCTTGAAAGGAGACAAGAAAATTCAAAGACAGAAAGTAATAATATTTGTCATCTGTTTGGTTCCTGGGCTGTAAGTCTTTATAAGAAAAAGACACCTTCCTCCCAGCTGAAGAATCCCAAACCAATACAATCAAATGAAAATTCATGTGGGTTTTGGGGAAATGTCTTGAATTCCTCCCAAAAAGTAATTATAAAGCCATTCACAGTATATTGTACTTTTCCAGGTACAATATACTCTTACAAAAGAAAAATTACCCTACTGAAGATATAAAGATTCTTTAAAAAGTCAGATTATAGCACAGTAGATTAAGAATGAGAAATTAAAATGCCATCTGAAAATGATAATTAAAGTAATTTAAAAGGAAAATATGCAAATTTTAAAAGACACTGAAGGAGAAAATACAGATACATTTGACAAAGAACCAAAAAGAAGTTATTTAAAGAAAAATATGTAATCAACTGGTATTATCTGGCTGAATCATTTCTAATAGGGAAAATTGTAGTATGAAATGCATATATTAAAAGAAAGCCTGAAAAAAATCAACTTAAGCTTCCAACTCCAAGAGCTAGAAAAAAGAATCAAACCTCCAGCCAGGTGTGGTGGTGCATACCTATAATCCTAGTGGCTCAGGAGACTAAGGAGGATCACAAGTTCAAAACCAGCCTCAGCAACAGTGAGGTGCTAAGCAACTCAGTGAGACCCTGTCTCTAATAAAATACAAAAGAGGGCTGGGGATGTGGCTCAGTGGTTGAGTGCCCCTGAGCTCAATCCCTGGATCAAAAAAAAAAAAAAAGAATCAAACCTCAGAAAACTAAAAACAGGAAATAAAGACAAGAGATCAATGAATAGGAAACCAATGCAGAATCAACAAAGACCAGATTTGATGCTTTGAAAAGATTCATAAAATTGATGACCCTCTAAACAAGGCTCTTAAGAAAGAATAAGAGAAAACACCATTACCAATGGTCAGTGTATCAATGTCAGTATTCCTGACTGCTGGCCCTAGCTCCTGTCCCTCTGGAGTCACACCATATTCATATCAAGGCCAGCATCCCCACAGGATGTTCCTAGGCAATGACTGAGACATGGGGATACTAAGATGGGTCTCCTTGGTGACTCTGTCCCTATCAGGCTAACTAAACATTTCTTGACACTGCTAAAATCCCAGGTTCTCCTTCTCTACCTTCTCCTAGCCTCTCTCCTTCCATAGGTGTCCGTCTGGCAATATGGTCTGAAGGTCTTCTCTGCCAATGAAAATCTTGTTCCTGTAAACCTGTCATGGTGTCTTTCTCTTGGTTAAACCAAATTAATACGAATATTGCAAATGTGTTAAGAGGATTTTGTGAGCAACTCTACATAACAATAAATATAAATTGAAAAAAATCCACAAGAAATAGCAAATACCAAAACTGATCGAACCACAGACCCTGAAGATGTTCTGACAGATGATTGGGAGACCTCAGGCACTCAGCTTCCCCTTCTGTCCATTTGGCAAATTCTGGGACAGCATAAGGTAGGAAACTAACACATGAGAATAACAGAGTACTGAGAAAAATCAGGAGACAAATATTAGAGACTGAGACTTGCAACAGCAGGTACTCAGTTGAAAAAAAAAAAAACCTTGGCAAGTCAAAAGGCAAACGAGGGACAGAGAGATAGAGAGAGCCTTACTGAGTCTCAACTCACATAGTCTCTAATTGAACTAACATAATCAGTCAACAACCATTTAATGTGCTAGGCAAAAGGAAGAGTGAATTCTCTCAGGGAATACAATGGCAAAATTGTTTTACATATAACATAGCAGTTAAAGTTGTATTGCTTAGTAAGATAATACTGACCCATCCTCACATACCTGGGATAGAAACCTACTTGGTCAAAATATTTATTTGATTGCTTGATTTTAGAACACATTGAAATAAATTTGTTAATACCATCTTTAGTTTTTACACATCTGTGTTGATTTAGCAGTTCTCAGTTTCTTACAACTGCCTCCATATCTTTTCTGGCATTGACAGTTGTGGTGGAGGGGAGGAAATGGATAGCTGTACAGGCACTCAGTGTTGACAAAGGCAAAGATTCTTCTTTAATCATTCTTTATTTCTGTTTCTTTGCAGATCAATATGGTTCTGAGTTGTCCACACTTCTGGATGGGTTTTTTGTTAGTCCCTACTACCTGCCTGATTCAAAATTTTTTCTGGAAATTGTAAGTTGAAAAAAGAAGTAGTAGCCAAAAAGTTTATTGGCATGCTCAACTACCCTTTTTCAATTATGTATATATCTTTCAAACCACACTGAGTATCCCTTTATGCATATGAAATGTCACAAGGTTTTTAAGAAAGAAATTGTTTTCTGCTTTCTTGCCACTGGAGATTTACTGGCAATCAATTTAAATGGGAAAAAACATGGAAGGAAAGTGCACAGGAGGGAATATGAAATTTGTGGTGATATTACCGCACTCACGATTTTTTTCCAAACACTGACCCATTTCTTTTCTCTTTTGAAGTGTGACTTCAATTTTATCTAATTTATTGGAGTCAAAACCAAATCAGAGGATCACAGATTAAAAACTAAAAATAATAGTAAGAGGTAAATACTCAATGGAAAAACATTCTTTACTTTGAAAAAAAATGGAGTAAAACCCTCTCAAATATAGTTTCCCCCAAATATTTAAATGTTGGTTTAGAGTTTCTCAATTTATTTCAACCAAGTCCATTAAGGGCTGGGGTGGCAGAGGTAGAAGGCACTTTAAACTATATATAATCCCTAATATTAAGGTAAAGGATTTATGGAATTACACAGCTTTAAAACAGAAGCAGTTTGTTTATAATATGAATTATTACACATATTCTGTAACATGAACAACAAAATTCTAAAACAAATTTCAAACTCATTAATGAGGCATATACTGAATGGAATGATATTAATTTTGTTTTTTAACATTTAATTCTTCCTGAATTTCTCTATGTATCAGGAAATACAGAATTATTTGTGGAGCCCAAAGTGGAGAACTGAATCTTTCCCAGCATTTCCAGAAAATATATACCATGTTTTCTTCCCTCTCTCCTTCTCCCCTCTCCCTTCTACTTGCCTTGCTCTCCTCTCCTTCCCACCCTTCTTCTCTCACTGTGTGTCCATATATGATCTCTTCATTCATTCCACCTTCAAAAAGAATTATCTTGCCTGAGAGTCTAAGAAACATTTGAAGAACTCCCTTCATATTAGTATTAACCAAAGTTAGCTATGGGAATGGGGCAAAGGTACTGATACATTGGTATTATCCTGAAAGTGGACATGAAGTTTCAGGGGCAGCAATGGACACTCATTACTTACCCACAGCAGTAGGTAGCCACATTAGTTCTCCTGGCCCTGATTTTCACCCTTCTGGGTAATGCAGTGAGGAATGGGTGGAATAGCCTGAAAGTACCAAGTTCATACCATGGAGAGAAAGCCAAAAATAGGAATCTGGGAGTTTGTGTTGGAGAGGGGCATCCATCCTCCAGCCCCTCGAGAGAGAGAGGAGGGAAACTTTGCTCCTTAATGTCAACAAATTTTCCTTGAAATATGACAGGGAAAGATTGTGGGTCCTAACCCCTTGAATGTAAATACAAGTCTTCAGGGATGAGAACAAAACAAATGTCTGTGGATTTACAATTCCTGGAATATCTCCATGGCCCAAGTCTCATTCCTTTTTTGAAATATAAACATTTTGATAAACTTTGCCATGTGAAGAGATAAAGTTTCTAATTTAATGAACACTTATGGACCTTTCTTTGTATTAATAGATCTGTGATCTTGTTTATTAAAAATAATCACAAGGTGGCACATGCCTGTAATCCCAATGGCTTGAAAGTTTGAGGCAGGAGGATCACAAGTTCCAGGCCAGCCCTCATCAACTTAGACAGGTCCTAAGCAACTTAGCAAGACCCTATCTCAAAATTGAAAGGGCTGGGATATGGTTCAATGGTAAAGTGTCCCTGGGTTCAATCCCCAGTATCAAAATAAATAACCACAAACTACCCAGAGCCTGGGATAAGCACTTACCTCTCATGCTTCAGCACAGGGGGGGGGGAAAAAAAAAAAAAAAACTCCCAAATAAATCATCTCCCATTATTCAGACACTTTCAATCTAGGTGCTAAAAATTCATCACCTGGAGGTATAATTCATCAAATTTGGTATTCCAGGAATACCAAAGTGTTCCTGGAAGCAGAGCTAGAGTGCTGGAGAGGTAGAGTGTATATGGAACTAGAATATGCAGAAGACTCACAAGTTAAAATAAGCATTAGTTAATTATTTAGTCTGAAGTGTCTTCTTTTTCAGGGAAAAGAAAGCTTACTGTTAAGAACTTGACCCAGGGCAATTTTAATGTCCAGTTAAAATTTAACTTTGGAAAACATGTAGTATTTCCTGTCTCCTTACCTGCATCCTATCTGAAAACTTTTTAATTTGATTCCCAGAAATAATTGGTGAGGAACAAAGTAAACAAAGTAATTGATTAGGTGCTAGATGCTATCATTAGGTGCTAGATGAATCAAGTATTGATTAACTTCAAATACACACACACATACACAAACACACAGACAAAATAAGGATATCACTGTCAATCTTGAAACATGAGTTTTTGAATCTTGGAACATTTTGAAGCTATGTTTAACTTCTTAGAACCATTAAATTCTACACATTGCAATATTGCCATTATAAATATATTCTTATGAAATATTATTGAGGAGACATTTTCTTAAAGAAACAGAAACAGCAGTGGTCTTTATGTTGTTGTTTTCTTGTTAGTCAAGGCCACAAATGCCTATTTATTTGGTAATATAGATGAAATATAATTTCAGTGGAGAGATAAAGGAATCATTACTGTTGAAAATGAGCAGTATTTCTTTCAGCAATTAAGAAATGCACAAGTGCTTGAAACACACCTCTCCCCATCTAGAGCCCAGCCCAAGAGGTCACAGAAGAAAAGCTGGTTGCTGAGGAGGTGGTGCAATGGGGAGAACTTGAAAAAGCAAGACGCTTGTGCTGAAAGTGAAAGGCTAAAAAATACGTGGGTCAGACATTGTTCTTTCTGTTTGAGATGAGATTTCAGACCCTGCTTCTCAGGAACTGCTGAGAGAACTATCGTCCCATTATTCTTTTCCACAGAATAAAGAACCAAATTTTAGAGGCCTTATATATATGCTAGTTATCATTGTGAATAGTCTCCCAACTGCTGCACAGGGGTGCAGCTTCCTGCAGTCTGAAGACATTGTGGTGGCCGGAGGGATACCTATCATCTGAGAGGTCCTTCCTGTACAGCATATAGAAATTCAGACTTTTTCTCTGAAAGCTGGTAATTTGGCCTACTGAAACAAACTGATAATAGGCAGATTAAGACAAGGTAAGGTACACAAACTTACTAATGTGTGCACATATTCATATGAGCCATACAAAATATGAAGTTCAAAGAAGGGCTGGATGGTTGAAACTTAAAACAATGCCCTTCTTAGGAAAGAGGTCAGTGGGGTGCTGTAGGAAATTTTCGAGGGTCAATAAATTGTTTTTAAGGAAGAAAGTGAGCCTAGAGAATAGACAGAGACTTGGGACAAAGTACCTTGGACTCTGGGTAGGGTGTTTGATTTTCAGTCTCTTCCTTTGTGCTATGAGCTTTAATTCTCCTTGGTTAATGACATTTCAGTATGAAGATTTTAAGGCAATTTTGTTTCTTATAGGCAGATCTCATCTTTAGGTGCAGAAGGGAACGTGGGAGAAAGCCCTTCTTGGGTTTGCTGCTCAATTTGACATCTAAAATGATAAATTTTGGGGTGTTGCTTTCTGAGCCACAATAGCCAATTTTCAGCTATTTATATGATTTACAGTGAGGGGTGGTTCTGAGTTTGAGAAGTGTCAAATACACATGATAATGGAAACTAATGTGGTTCAATGTCATTTTAATATCTTTTTCATATAAAATGATACACTTTAAAAATCTGATATTAATGTAGAAATCTACATATTAAATGAAAGCACTTTATCACATAGAACTCTAACTCAGATAATATATATATAAAGTGTTAAGAAATTTCATTCCACATAGTGTTGTCTATCTATTTTTCATGCAGAAAGCCTATAATTTGGTTCATTATTCTGTGGAAAAGAATAAATGAAATATACCCCATTTGATAGAATCCATTCCAAGGTATTAGAAGATGTCCATATTTTCCTTCCATAACCCAAAGTCACTCATTTTAGATACACAGCAAATATATTCTGTGCCTCTACTTTAACTGCCTTACAAAAGCTCTCCTTTGTTGTTATTGTCCTTTCTTCAGGTTGTGATGGCCAAAAATGTCCTTAGATAAACATCTAATAAGTAGAGCTCTTTCATAATGAATAACCATGAACTTTAATATGGTCTTATATCTCTTTTCCAAAACCTAAGCCACATTTTGTTAAATATTTTTCCTTCCTTGCTTCCATAAGTAATTCCCAGGCAACTCTTAATAATAGATAAGCCCTCAGGGTCAATTGTGAGAGGAGCATGGTAGAGTAACTGTATGTTTATATTTTATTCATTATTTTACTTTGATCAGAAAGGAATACAAAAGATAAAATAAAATGAGAGCAGAGTGACATAGGCTTTGGAATCAGAATATTAGGGAAATTATTGTTTTTGGAGGGAGGGTTGAATGATAGCTTCATTTTCTAAGAAGTGTCTTAGAAAATTCCTTAAATGGAAGCACACCTCTTAGATACACAGCAAACAGCGTTTTCCCTCAGGTATACATTAGCATTTAGGTTTGTTAATTTTTTGCATAATGTTATCTTGTTAAGTCTGGTATCACATTTTTTAACTTTTTTTGTACCAAAACTTGACCATTGATCTCTAATTTCTCCGAATCCATCAGTCCTCTTTTTTCTTCCCATCCTTTCCCATGTTGGCCAGACCAAAATTTATAAGCCACCAAGTTTTACTGATATCCTAAAGTCTCTTGCACTTTCCCATGAGACTTGGTTGGAGGTAAAGACAACCATGGCTGATACAGTAGCTCGTGAGCTATTCCTGATAGATGCCTCTGCTGGGCTTCCTTTCAGGGACAAGGCCAAATCTTTTTTTGTTTGTTTGTTTCTTTTTTATTGTTTTAGTTATAGTTGGACATATTACCTTTATTCCATTCATTTATTTTTATGTGGTGCTGAGGATCGAACCCAGGGCCCTGCGCATGCTAGGCAAGTGCTCTACTGCTGAGCCACAATCCCAGCCCACAAGGCCAAATCTTTATAAGGGCCATCGATGGCCTATTTTGTGCCCATGTCTTCCATCTCCTCTAGCTACACTTTGCCACTGCTGGGCTTCCGGGTATATTCCTTCTATCTGGAATATTCTTCCCCTCTCCCTTAGTTACTTGCTCCATCTCCTCTAGACACCAGTTCCACTCACTTCCTCAGAGGAACTTTTACTGATATCTTTGACAACCTTCTATCTCAGCCCCCAAAGAGTCACTGCACCAGCTAAGTCCCTTATCTTTATGAGAAGGTAACGTGCGCAGCTCTGTGTGCCACCCAGACACTGTTTTTCTAGAAGCTTAGAACCATTATCAGAGGGGTGCAGGGCAGAGCTGGGCAGTGTAAGTCAGCAGCCACCTTTCCTTTACGAGGAGTAGGATGATATCTAATTATAACTCACGAAGTATATTTAAGAACCCATGAGTGGATAAATGATGAATGCCCAACTATTGACAATGCCCCATTGCAAACAAGTTGACAAAGAAAGGGAAAGCATCTCTTTGAGTCACCTGTATATTTGAGATCAAATGTATTGATCTCTGCTACAGTAACTACAGACTTCCTGTCTGCCATTATAATTGCTAAAAACGGCACAGCTAGCCCTAGTGTTCTTTGATTTACGTACAGAAAAAGGACACAGCTGAATAAGAACCTGAGCGTCAAGATTGTCAAGCAGTTTTCACAGCAGAAAAGGGTATAAGTAGTCACGTCTCAGTCCTATGAATCTTCAGTGCTCTTTGTGACTAACACAGGAAAGATCTACCCTCCATAGTCAGAGTACTTCTATAGCCTGGACATGCATCCAACAGAGTTGCAGCCTTCATGGAAAGTGAGAAGTTTGGGGGCTGCCAGCTGCTAACATACACTACCCTGAGCCCCTCTGGTAATGCTTTTCAGGTGCTAGGAAACAGCCTGGTTGCACATGGAGGCTGCTGATGTGGTGTCATACCATGTTTCTTCATATCACCAATCATTAGAGGATGCCCAGCCTGCCATCTAAGAGGGCAAGGAAGAGTTGCTCAAGCAAGTAAAGCTCATATGCTATGTTCTTTTTATCTTTCCACATGCTATAGGATTAAAAATACCTACAAAAGAGGGCTTCTAGAAGAAATTCAGGAGCTGGAAAGCAGAAAAGATAGAATATTGGAACATAGTGAGATTTTTGAAAAGAGGTGAGTCTGTTCTCTTCATTATGGTTTTTGTTAAGAACACCTTCTCCTTATTCTTTCTCACATCTTTCCTTCCCAGGAATGTTCAGTCTCCCCCTTACTCCCCAAGTTCATTAAGTACATGCCAAACGGCATTTTGACCTGCACATGCCCTGCAGCTCAGTCCCTGTTTCCCTGCACAGGAGGACACAGGACACATTATGCACATTTATGTCAATCAAAGCAATGGCTTTCCATTGAGGTTTTGACTGGAAAGTTTTAAGGAGATTTCAGATATAAAGGAAATTTATTTGGAAATTTGAAAAAACAAGTATATAGTAAATACCTTTGTCAAAACTCATGATACTGAACTATGAATTTTAACATAGATGAAATGGACTTAGCAGGAAAAATATAAACACAGTATAAATGTGCAAAAATAAAGATTTCATAGCAAAGGGTTAATCTCTCAAATGAGCAAAGTGAAAATTTGGGATATTTCCAGAAATCAGAAAAAAAAAGTTGAAAAAGCCCACAAAGCAATAGAAAAACAGGTAAAATATAATAATAAACAGTTCATAGAGAAAGAAATACAATGGCCCTTAAACATACAAATGTACCCTCAACTGCCGCAGTCTGGCTGGGCACAAATGCCGCAGTCTGGCTGGGCACACAATCACGAGCCACCACACACCTTGTAGATTCAAACAGCAACTCTTTATTCCCGAACTCACACCGGCACTCTACAATCACGTTCTGGGGAAATCCACATTCTCTGCCCAAATCCACCTCCAATGGGCTTCTATCTCCCAAAAAATACTGTCTGAATCCCCTGAGAACTCAAGGGGAACTCAGGCAGCAGGATACGCCCTATTCCCAGCAGGAATAATCTTAAACCTGGAACGCCCTAAACCCGATTATCCTAAACCGGGAACACCCTAATCCGCCCTGGTCCTTGAGCAAGGTCACCTACATTCAACGTCACTGCAACATGGGGTACGCTGGTGCTGGGAGCCATTAGCCAAGTAGGTATGACAATTTCCTTGCCAGCGTACCCCATGTTGCTGACATGTTGCAGCGACATTGAATGTAGGTGACCTTGCTCAAGGACCAAGGCAGATTAGGGTGTTCCCGGTTTTAAGATAATCGTGTTTAGGGCGTTCCCAGTTTAGGTTCCAGGTTTAAGGTTTAAGATTATTCCTGCTGGGAATAGGGCGTATCCTGCTGCCTGAGTTCCCCTTGAGTTCTCACGGGATTCAGACAGTATATTTTGGAGATAGAAGCCCAGTGGAGGTGGAGTTCTCACGGGATTCAGACAGTATATTTGGGAGACAGAAGCCCAGTGGAGGTGGATTTGGGCAGAGAACGTGGATTTCCCCAGAACGTGATTGTAGACGGCTGGCGTGAGTTCGGGAATAAAGAGTTGCTGTTTGAATCTACAAGCTGTGTGGTGGCTCGTGATTGTGTGCCCAGCCAGACTGCGGCATTTGTGCCCAGCCAGACTGTGGCACGCTGGCAAGGAAATTGTCATACCTACTTGGCTAATGGCTCCCAGCACTCAACTTCATAAGATATTAAAACTGGTAAGTACATGGGAAGAATGTTCTTCATTTATCAGAATTTCTTACCTTTGGTTGGTGATGACATGGGAAAAGAAAGATTTAGAGCCATTAATTTGGCAAAATTTATCAGAAATACAAATGCATTTAGCCTGGACTCAGTGATTCCATTTCTGGGAATTTACCCCTCTTCTTTGCCCTAGAAATATCTGCAGATATCTCAAGTACTGGAGTAATATTTGGAATAGCAAATATTTCAGACAATAATACCTTGTGATACATCTATATACTGTGATGGAAATGTCCCTGAGATAAATTAACAGGAATAATCAATGCAGAACACTGTGTACAATATGCAAATTCTTTGTAAAAAACATAGATAATCAAAATACGTAATCACACTGGGCACCATTGTGCATGCCTGTGATCCCACTGGCTCAAGAGGCTGAGGACAGAGGACCATAAGTTCAAAGCCAACCTTAGCAACTTAGTGAGACCCTAAGCAACTTAAGCAAGACCCTGTCTCAAAATAAAATATAGAAAGGGCTGGGGATGTGATTCAGTGGTTAAGAGCCCCCTGGGTTCAATCTGTGGTACAAAAAAACATAATCACTCTTACTGATAAAGCACCTCTGCAAAATTACCCAAGAAACTAATAATAGGGATTTACCAGGAAGGAATGAAATGATGAACAAGACAGGGAGCAGGAGAGGGGCCTTTATTTACTTTCTTTTTAGATATTTATAATGATGCACCTATTTCACCCTGACAAAGAAAGAGGGAAAAGAGGATATATAAATGGGTAAACATATAACAGAGGCTTTAAGATGCTGCCTTTTTAAAGAAGTCCTGACAGGGACATTCAACTGCCAGCTTTCACAATGTCCTGTTCCAGACCTCTGGAGCAGCACCTGTAAGTCTCCAGTCATTGCCCTACACCTTCCAGAACAAAGAAACTGGCAGGCAGATCACCCCATGATAAGACTGCCTCCCCATCGGGAGCAGTCATCTCAGGGTACCTGAATTACCCACTTCTAGGATCACAGGTCTGAAAAATAAATACCCTGCAAAGCAAATGGGAAGTGTTTTCTCAAGTGATAATAAGGACTTCTCCAGAGTAACCTCACACAGAACCAGAACTAAGATAATGAACAACCAGACCAGTTTGACCAAGGCTGCTCAATTATGCACACCTTTGCCCCCTGCCCCAATTCTTTCTCTATTTAAATCTAAAGCTCATGTCAACACCCTGAAGACAGGGCTGAGACACTTGATCTCACTTGTCTTTTCAATATGACTATTTTGATTAAAGTTCCTTTCCTGCTTCTCATCATTACTTTTACCATTTGTTTTTTTTGGGGGTGTGGGGGGGAAATTGGCCAGAACTGATTTAGTGGGATCCTCAGAGTTGGGTCTCTGGCCTGGGATTATAGTACAAAGGGATTTCGGAAAGCCCGGAAACAAATGCTTCTGTGTATAGGAGCAAAATCTAGAATCATTATCTGATTGTTTTAATTACTTTGGAACATTTCAACCTCTTTCTTAAGTTTGTCATGGTGAAATAGGTGCATCATTATAAATATCTAAAAAGAAAGTAAATAAAGGCCGCTCTCTTGCTACCTGCCTAGTTCAACCATTCTCTCTCCTCTTTAGACAGTCCCTAGAAACCCTCCTCTGAGCTGGAAGGGCCGATTCCCATCTTGACAGGAGGCAGGGGTTCCTGATTCTCAATGGTCAGCCTTAGGAACAGAACTGGAGTCACATAAGGGAAATTGGACACCACGTGTAAAGGTGTTGTTGTGGTTGCTGAAAGCCACTGTAACTTGTTGTACAAACTTAAAACCCCTCAACTGGAGATATCAATGCACACAGTAAATCCAACATAGCAGAAGACTCTTGTGGTTTGTTAATATCCAGTATATAGGAAAACAATGTAGGCTTGACCATATGGGTATTTTAACCCCATCTTTCAACTATAGGAAAAAATTTAAATAAATAAATAAATAAAGCATAAACTACATTAATTATGCTCCTTAGAGGGGGAAAATTCATAAAGTGATCCCACCTTTTGGAACTTAGAAAGTCCTACCCTTGGATTTTTCACTGTTGGTCCCATAACAAGTTCTGGGGGCTAAAGAAGAAGGTCCCCCTCATGTTTATGCCAATGCTTTCTACCACTGCCAAGAGTCTTGAACCAAACTCATTTATTATTCTTTGCCATTAAGAAAGGAAGTTGAGACAAATGTTGTTAAGGTACACCTCATGTATCTCTAAGGTGCTCTGACAAACCAGAAGAATGCAAAACACTTATGGTTCAATTCAACTATTTGGAAAGGACAGTTAGGAGAGTTTTATCTAAGAAATGCTCACAGCAAAACACTATTTTAGAAATAGCATCTTGCTGAGTGTGTGTAGATAATACCGTTTTATTTTAGATACATAACCAAAATGTGGTATAGTTTCTTACTTTCACTTACAACTTGATCTTTCCCAGTCAATTCCTTTGAGACCTGTTCTAATAAATTAATGCCAGGCTGTGTTTGATTTACTCCCAGGACGACAGCAGCAAGTCTCACAGTGTCCTTTAGTACACAGCCCTGTGAGATTTTCTTCCGGGATGATTCTGTTGATCTAAGTGCCCCACGTAAGTAACTCACCGTAAAATGGATCATGGTCTGAAACTGTCTGTCCACGAGAGGGGTGAGGAATTAAAAATTAAAAATTCATTCTACTTGAGGACATTGTGCTATGTGAAATAAGCATAATACAAAAGGCCAAAATGCTGTATGAATTCCCTTATGAGGCACCTTGAATCATCAAATTCATAGAGACAGAAAGTAGAATGAAGGTTGTCAGGGAGTGATGAGTAGGAATGGGGAGTCAGTGCCTAACAGGCACAGAGTTTCAAAGTGAAAATAGTTCTGGGGACAGATGGTAATGATGGTTTACAGCAATGTGAATGTACATAATGCCACAGAACTATGCATTTAGGAATGGTTAAGATGGTAAACTTTATGTTATGTGTATTTATCACAATTATAAGAAATAAATGGAAACTGCCTATATTATTATCTTTTTTTTCAAAAATAGTTCTTACAGGAAAAGAGAGCTCAATTGGATTTCAGAAGTTAATGTGTTTAGCCTAAGTCATGAGCAAGTTGAAAAAAGATTATTCCAGATTTCTTGTTCCTAAAACATAAAATCCTTAAATGTAAATCCTAAAGTTTTCAAGATTCTCCGACAGATTCCCATTATACCATTTTAAAGATAAAACTGGTGGTAGTGCCTAATAATTTTTACCCAAAGAAACTTTACATACCCTTCATTGGTACAGAGTTAGCACAGCTCCATTAGGCATGAAAACAACTTTGAAGTTATTTCACTTCTCCTTCTCTTAATAAGAAATCCACCCAAAGTTGCCTGAATGGAAGATTTGGATCCTATGTGACCTTCATTTTGCAATATTAATGCTGAATGCTATACTGGGAACAAAAACAAATCAAACAAAAGTAACAAGAAGGAAACAAGTTGTGGTATTTGTTGGGAATGAGACCAAATTGCCCCTTTTTGGACAAAGGCATTCACTGAAATTTTAAAATTCTAGGTTCTCTTATTGTATTTTTTTTTTTTTTTAATTTCTATTGTTTGCCTCTTGGATGATTCAGGACACATGCAAGCTCACACATGCTCACACACTACTTCTTCAGCCTATTCCATGCCCACCCCTTTGCTTTCCTGCCTCTCACTAGAGATCTGGGGGGCAGGGGGAAGCTGAGCAATAATGGGACATAGAAATGAACCAGGATAAGAAAACATATACCAGAGTAGACATTTGAAGGACTGGAGTTAATGTCTCTCCCATCTTCATTCCCAACTGAGGACCTTGATTTCTACATAGGATGAGGTCACCTTCCCTGGGCTCTCATCACACCTTACTTGCCAGCTGTATCCATGCGCCTGGTTGGCCATCCCATCTGTTTCCACAGATTCTCACCAGCACACACAGTAGATTTTCTTATAAAGTAGAATGTTCTCTTTGCCACATGTTAACCATTAGCTTTGGTTTCATTTCATGGCATTCCACTGCAACAAAGTGTTTAATAAAAATGATCTGTAGCCATTGCATCAAATTTCTCTTCTCTCTTTCTCTCTTACACCCATTCTTCTCAGAATTTCATTCCTGCCACTCAACTGATAGTGCTCTGGTTTAGGCCACCACTGAACCTTTTGTAGTCCATTCTCACTCCTCAAGCTGAAAAGAAGCCGGTGGTACCATAGGCTGCTTGACCCTCCTTGGACTATTTCTTTACACGGTTTCTAGTATACTATACCCTTTAGGTTTCCTCCTACCTTGTAGGATGCTCCTTTTTGTTGTGATTGGTTTCTTCCTTTTCTCTCCAGTCTCTAAATATTTGGATGTTCCATGGTTCAATTCTTAAGTTTTTCTCTGTCTATATTCACTCAACTGATGATCTAATCTCATCTCAGCATTTAAATGCCATCTATATGTTGGTAACTCCCAAATCTATATGTCCAGTGCACATTGTTCCCCCAAATCCCAAATTCAAATATCCAACTATCCATTCAACATACCCATTTGGTTATCTAATAGATATTTCAAACTTCACATGTCTAAAGTGAACTCCTGGTTTCCTCTTCCACCAAGATTGTTCCATCTAAGATTTGCCCATCTCAGTTGATGGTAACTTCACACTTCCCGTTGCTCAGGCAAAACCCCTTGATGCCATTTTTAATTTTTCTTTTTCTCTCATAGATGGTTGACTCCATTACTCTGGGCCCAAAGTGAGGCAGCACATAGGCGGAAGGGCCCAGTGGAGGAAAGCTGCTCATCTTATGGTGGGGTCAGGAAACAGAGAGAGAAGGGGAAATGGGCCATAGGGAAAGTGAACCCTTTCAGGTCATGTCCTCAGTGACCCCCCTCCTCCAGCCAAGCCCCCACCTGCCTACAGTTACTACCCAGTCTATTTAAACTAGGATAGCCTGATGATGTTACAGCTCCCACAATCCAATCACTTCACCTCTGAACATTTCTGCTTTAACACAGGAGCTTTTGGGTGACACCTCATCTCCAGACCATATCAAAGTCCAAATCCTTAAAATGATCAACAAAGGTTTACTTGATTTGGGCCCTGTTACTTTCCTGGTGTTATCGTCACCTTTTCTTCTTCCTCCCTCATTCACTCTGGCCTTTGTGGTCTTCTTGTGGCACACCAGGTATACTCCTGCTCGAGAGCCCTGGCACTAGCTATTCCCTGTGCCTCCGCTGCTAATCCCTTATATACCTGCACACTCACCCCTTCACATTCTTCAAGTCTTTGCCTAAATATTACCTTCTCAATGAAGCCTACCCTGACCACTCTATTGCCACCCAACCCGACCATGTTTCCAGTTTATCTTCTGTTTAGTTAATAGCTCTTTATTACCCTTTTGGGTACCACATGATTAACTTTTTTTTTATATGTCCTGGCTTATTATCTGTCTTTATTGACAAAATGTAAGCTTCATGAGAGCAAGAATCTTTGTTTTCTTCACTGGTTTACTCCAAGCAAGTAGAAGGACACCTGGTACGCAGTAGATGCTTAACAAAAGTTTTGTTGAATAAATGAAATAATTTATTAATTAATAGGTCAATTAATTAATAGCTGAATTATACATACTAACAGAAACCCATTCCATCTCTCTCTCTCTCTCTCTACAATGTAAACTGTAAATATGGTAAAATGGAATTAATACTTATTAAGCACTTACTGTGCACTTGGCCTTCTGTTGAACACTTGGCCATTGCATTATATCTTGGGAACCACTATGTGAAGGTGATTGTCAGATACTTGTTGAATGACAAAATAACTGACTGAAACTGCATTTCCAGAGGAGGATATGGTGGCTAAGCAAGGTTAAGTCATTGGCCCTAGATTCTAAAACTAACAACTGGTAGAATTCAGAGTGGAATATGTTAAATTCTAGAGCTGAGACATGGAAATCATATAGATGTTCTGCCACTCAACTGGCCATGGGATGTTAGGCAAGTTAATTATCCATGGTTATACAGGAAGCACCAATATGGGTTTTTTTTACAACTCCAAATTTCTACCTGAAGATTGTAATTGAATTTTCCTGAAATGGGAAAGGAGAAAGAAAGGAAAGAAGGAGGGAGGGAATCCTCAGGGTTTGGGAAACATTAATACCAATATCCAACCAGAGATGGTGATTACACTGACCTAAAGCAGTAGTTCTCCAACAAATCTTAAATCTTTGCAGAATTTAGTTGTCTTTATTTGAGATTCCAGAATAGCACATCAGTCAGAACCAAAAATGTTTCAGAATGCCTCTTTCACCACTTGGGCAGGTTATATTTATAGCCAAAGTAAAGGAAGTGACAAACAGAAAATGGAAGAGTATCAGAGCTGCCCAATTGGTTACAACTCTGTCTTATTTGAACTTGGTTTGAATAGTTGGCTGCTTGAAACTGGCTGAGACTTTGGTACATGTTACAAGAATAGGTTACAGTCTATACACATCAAGTTAGGTTGAAGTTTCCTAAGTAAGAACTTTTCAGGCAAACACAAAATGTATGGAAGCAGCTGTACGCCAAACTTAATAGTCCTGAAAACAGCAATAGAAGTGTCCCCTGTGAAGTTGTTAGAAATGCCAGTTCCTGGTCCTCACACAGACTCACTAAATCAGACCTCTGGAGATGGAACCAGGCATTACCTGGCAAATTTTGGTATGCATACAAGGCAGAGAACCACTGGTCTAATGTTTAGGCAGAATACATGCAGTTTTCTTGGCTCCCTGGGTGATTCTAATGTACAGAGAAGGTTGTGAGCCATTTGCCCTTACTTGCACACAGAGACATTTCATTTAAAATCCTGCTGATTAGTAGGTAATGTAAGTTCCATTTATAGTTTATTTTTCTTTCACAGATCATGAATTCTCACTAGTAAATCCATTGTCATTAATTAGCAACATGATAAGCCTTAGATACATGTGGATAGAAATAGTGATTGCTGGGCTCTGTGTCTTTTAATCTGAATGCAGTATTGTGTGACAGATCTACTATCTACCCTATCAAGGTCAAGAGTTAGTGAAGGACAGTAATACTTGTTAGCTCTCTATATTGAGTACCAGCTTAACTTTCAGAAATGATTATAAGACTGGTCCTTCAAGAAATATAGTGTTGTTAAGTGAATCAATTCTTCTGGGAATTTCTACTAATGACATTATTTATTTAAACTTAATTAAACCACTTTGAAAACTTATTTAAATCAGCCAAATTTTAAGACAGGGATGTGTCCAGCACGATGGATTCTTTACTAAATTTAATATTAACATCATATGTGGTTTTCCAGCATGATTTTAGCTTCATCAATTACTTTTCTAGGTTTCAGTTGCAAGTGTCCTCCTCAAGATTCAGACATTTGCAGGGCCTCTCCTCTTGAATGCCAATGGAAAAAGGGAATCGGGGACCCAGGAGGCCACTGTTTGAGTTGTTCAGTCTAGTCTCAGCCATGTAAGTGGCAATCACTCCTCAGCAAGTGATATAGATGGTTAAAATGGCAAGAGTGACATAGCCATGGTCAGGTCATTTCCTATAGAATAGCAGTTGCTATGTAGGACATGATA